GCTTGCTACTATACTTTTCATTTGGTTTTATATCTTTTCTTGACACACAAATATAGACACACACACACACACACACTCACACACACACTTGTACATATACAGACACATGTATGCCCACATAGGAATGCATCACACCATGCTCCCCAACAAGTATGTTGCAGCAGGTGACTAATTAGAGATTTGCTCTTGGTTTTATTCTCACCATAACAATGCTGAAATCTAGCCAGCACCAAGTGTCTGTGAAGTAGGTCTTGAAGCCAAATGCAAACCATTTGATGATCATCTCAACAATGAAGATGATAGTGAATATCTTGTCCATGTACATAAGAATCTCTTTTAGCAGGGGGTTCTCATGGAGATAAGCATCCTCTAAGGCCTGAAATGAAAATGGATGTGAATGTTTTTGAACGACATGGTAATGAGAAACAAGACAAGTTGTGGAAGAAGGTAATGTTTCTTAATCATCAGTGTCATTGGTCTGATATGCGTAGTCATGCTTCAAATCTTATGTTCCCCAATATAATCTATCTATTCGTGTGTTGCAACAGCTGATAAATGTGCTGCTATGTTAACCAGCTTTGAACTATCAGTGCAGGACATGGACAGTCCTGGAAAAAATTGCAACATGTAAGATAGTAGTAGGTAGTAGGTTAGTTGCGTATCCTTTACAGGACGTTGCAGAACCAGCCCCAACAGCCCCTAGCTGTTGTGTGGTTTCTCTAGGCAAATTTACATCCATTAGTTTGCTATTGCTTTCTAGACGGTCGGCCCCCTGATACCACTGTCAAAACCAACGCAAGGCGAATGGCTCGCAGCTGGGATCAAATCCAGCACCCTGGCATTATGAAGCGTTCGCATCGACTTAGCCACAGAGCGGACAACATGTGGGATAACACAAATTAAAAGTGCAGAAGAAAATACATGAAGTGAAAGAGTCACAGATGAAGAATTAAGAACAGTTGTAGACACAGTACTGGTAAGTGATTTCACAGAGCACCAAAGAATCGAAATAAGTCAGTGGCTGAGCATAGTACATGAGAACAGCAGGCTAAAGGCAAGAGCCCAACCATGAAAGAAATTGGTGAGGAGTAAACAAGACACTTCGATAATGCAATATGACATAAAGACAAACTACACAACTAGCAAATACAGGAAAGCAAATATAACTCCTCTCTGCAATGATTTGTTGCATAGATGGAAGGGGGGAAAAAAAGAAGAAAGAAAATTCATATGCAGACATTTTTTCTTGTCTTGATGATATCATAAGGGCTGTTGTTGAAAGTATTTCAATCTTTTCCTGAGCGTCCACAGGATGGCTTGATATAACTGATGTCATCTGTATCGTCCAAATCCTCTAAAATAGAGGTGAGTGACCACCTTATGCCTCTTTTTCTATCTCATGTAATTTCCTTCATCAGCCAGTCCAAAAAAAGGGGGATCTATTCCACAGTAAATAAAATGTTTTTTATTTACAGAATTTAATTTTTTCTTGGTCTATCTTTTTATTTGTAATGCTTGTTCTGACTGTGCAAACAGCAGCAGATAGAAATGTGTGTGTAAATAAACACACACACAGTCTCACATACACACACATATGTGCACACACACACACACTCTCACAAAAAACAAATAAATAACAAGTGATCTTAGACTAACCAATGCAATGCTGCTAGCAAGGATCATAGTGATGATAAAGGTATCAAAGTATCTGTGTTCAGCTACACGGTACATGAAACACCTCAGCCCCCACCAGATGCGTCCGACCAGGGTTTTCTCAATCTTCGCACACCATACACATCGCTTGACACAGCAGTAGCAGAAACAGTCATCGGGTTCCTAAAACAGTATGGGATGAGATTCATCAGTTAGTGGACTGAAAGATGAAATATCTTTTCTGCAAGTGACTCTTACAATATAGCAAAAGAAAAAACATGTGTATTCTCCGACTCTTCTCTTCCTCCTTATCCTTTTCTTCCTCCTCCTTCTTCTTTTTCCTTTGCATCCTTCTTTTCTCTTGTTTTTTTTTGTCCTTTTTTTTTCCTTCTTCTTCTTCCTCTTCTTTTTCCTCCTCCTCCTTTTCCTCATCCTCTTACTTCTTTCTCTTTCTTTTACCCTCCTCCCTTTCCTTCTTCTTCTTTCCTTGACACATAGTTTTTAGCACTGATGTGATTAATACTGTTGTCAACTAATCAAACATAAAAGTTCCACAGTATATGAAATTCTAGAAAATAAATCGATGGATAATTCAAATATTCTTCAAAAATAACAACATTCAATGAAAAATAGGTATTTGCTAAAATAACTCATGCACATATGTAGACCTAATCAAATAACAGTTATCTGTTTCGGATAAAAACTGTTTCTAATTTTAGATTAATAATATCAACATAATGTCTGCACCAAGGTGGGCATTTGCACATTGTTTTGATTTTATTGGCTATTGCCTCTTTGTCAACATAAAAAGCAAAATTATATTTATTTGTTTTGAGCCTAACATAATCTGCAAATACTACTATTGATCATGAAAGATGGCAGAATTGACGCAGAAATAGAAACCAGATATCAGAAACCAAGTGCACTAATATACTTTTTGTTGCCATTATTAAAACATAAGTACAAGTGCAAAGAAACTAATTATAAGCAGCACATCATTCCAACATTGAGCTACCTGTGCCAGACATAGACGTTATCTAAAGCCCTTGTAGACAAAATCACCTGAGAAAAGCCACCAACATAACTAGCCGAGATCGAGTAAATAATGATAGTATTAGACGGATGATGGGAATGACACTTTGTCCTAGTTTTATCGAGAAACTGCAGATAAAGTGGTTTGGCCATATCGTTAGAATTCAGCAACAATAAATACTATCACAGTCACTAAGTCTCAGAAGATGGGCTACAAGAGCAAGAGGACAACATAAAAATATGGATCAACAACACTAAAGACACTTTACACCTTCAAGGCATGGCCATAGCCAGTGCCAGCCAGCTTGCACTGGATCATAAATTAGTTCTCCCCATGACACTTAATGGCAGAAGTGGTTCATGTCGATGATGATGGCTACTGTGTGAAGTAGTTTTGGCACCTTTTTAATCTTTCCAGTGGTAGTGTAATACTGTTTTAAAGAGAGGCATGGGATTCACAGCCTGTGGCAGGAGCAAGTGTCTTTTGCATTAGGAAATGTTTGCCACAAATAGAGCATGGGCTTTCTGGGCCATTGTTGTCACTACATGTATTTAATGTACTTATTCACAAACTTTTATGAAATCATTTCTGTTTTCTCCCTATTCCCTTCCTTCCTGATTTTCCCACTCCATGCAATACAGCCCATGGCATACTGTCCTACTACAAAGTAGTAGTAATTTTAATCTGAATAATATCTAGTTCAACCCTTAGGGTTATAATTAGCATGCATAGCAAGAGGAAAGCAAAGAGATAAATTCCTAGATGGTCTGGCCAGATGGATGGGGCGAGATTAAAAAAAAAAGCAACTGTGAAATGATCCATGAATCAAATGATCATGTGAGATAGCAAAACATGACAGTCTATGCTTACTGGCGCAGCACATTATGATGAAGCTATTGATGAAGATGATGAAGATGATGATGATGGTAATGATGATGATGATGATAATAGTGTCCATTGTATTTTAGTGTCCATTATATCTAGTCTACACATTTGGTATTTCATATATGGTATTATTATTTCAAACATTTTTGTAAATCATTTCATTAATTTTGGTTAATATGAATGAGGCAAATCTGGAAATCCAACAATTACTGCAGAGGAATGAAACTCTGACTCTACAAGAAAGAGCATCATTTTGCCAGTTTTTCTTTATGGAGCGGAATGCTGGAGAATGACCAAAAAGGATGCACACAAGCTGTCTACCTTCCACCACACATGTCTATGTAGAATTATCAAAATTTTCTGGCCAGATACAATCTCAAACATTAAACTACTTCAAGTCACAAACCAAGAAACTTTAGACAATATGATAACCAAGAGAAGATGGAAATGTCTTGGCCACGTTATGAGAATGAATCCTGATATACCTGCCAAAACAGCTCTCACATGGACACCAGAGGGAAAGAGAAAACAGGGGCGCCCAAAAACAACATGGAGAAGAACGATGGGAATTGACCTGAGTGCGGCATCTTTGACATGGAAAACTGCACTGAAGATTGGACAGGACAGGAAAGCATGGAAAGTCCTCTCTAAAGCCTCATGTACCACTAGGCATAACGAGAACTGACTGATTTCATTAATTGAAATATTATCTCGTTCACACAGTCTGGTTTGAGACTGGAATGGGTACTGTATAATGAGTTTAAGTCTGGTAGCCAAGAGGCTGGATGGATTTATTGCTAGTTTGAAAGTCGTTATTTCAAATTTACGTAGATTTATTTAAAAAAAATACCTTGGTTCCCAAATTGACTGAGCCTAAAATGGGCATAAGGCAGTGTTCTGGGAAGTAATGGTGGCTGGCATGATATTGACCACATAACTCACCAAGTGCTGACTGGCCTATATATATAGAGCATCATTTTCCTGATGCACTGCAGCCTGATAATGTACACTGAGTATTTTAGTAATTTTCTTTGCATTGTCCTTCAGAATGGTAGTTTTATTACTATCAAATTCATATCCTCCCCTGGTTGGTTCCGGGACCCCATTCTGGGTAAAAAAAGAATAGTCCCATTGCCTTCCTAACATGAATGTCATACAAGGCTACTAATAAGAGGATTGAAGTGGTGTGCATCTGCCTGGAAAGCGAGGAAACAACAATCTGCGTACTAAATAAGACAGATATGTAAAATGTATGTGCTTGCAAAACTCAAGTTCTAGAGCAAGAATAATGTATAGAAATAGATCAATAACCAGATATTTACACTGGAGTTTACAGCCGGGGAATAAAATGTATGTCCTTCAGCGACTTGTCCAATTTGTGTTTCTACTTTTAATATCATTTTTTTTTTTTAAGCAAAGCATCATTTACCTTGGCATAAACAACTTCCACTTCATTTACTTCATGCTCTGCTTCCAGATCAATTTTCTTGGCTTGGGCCAGGTCTGTCATGGATGAACAGCTGGAGCACTGGCTTGAGCCACTTCCTGTAGTCGACTTCTGGTGTCTGCTTGAGACTATACTGCCTGCTCTTGATATCTAAACACAAAAATGAAATAAACACACCTTTTCCTGTGATTCAGAACTGTAATATATTTGATAGTTAACACGGACAGTTAGTAGATAAGGGAGCAATAAAGTGGATTTTTAAATTTAGTTAGTTAGTTAGTTAGTTAGTTAGTTAGTTAGTTAGTTAGTTAGTTAGTTAGTTAGTTAGTTAGTTAGTTAGTTAGTTAGTTAGTTAGTTAGTTAGTTAGTTAGTTAGTTAGTTAGTTAGTTGGGTTATCATCATTGCACTCCGGACATGTCCATAAATGCTCAGATCCTCCCCTCAGTATGAACCCCAACGTCCGATGGCTAATAGTACCAGTTCTATGTTGAATAACAAGTCTTCTGACGTGTCCGGTGTGCGTCTCGTTTTTTGCTGTGCCGATCTTAATTCCCAAGTCTGCCATTCTGGCGAGTGATGTGGATTCACTGCCACCAAAGTCCTCTATCCTTCCCATTTCTCTGAGGGCATTGATAATATCAGCATGATCCATAGGCCGACCGTTGGTAGTGATAGCGGATCCAGCCAACCTGTCAGCTCTTTCATTTCCATCGACGCCTGCGTATCCCGGAACAAAAATAAAGGTGACTCCATGCACAGTGGACTTCTGAATTGATTCAAGCCATTGTCTTCGCACTGAACCTGCCTGAACCCTCCGGATCATACTCATTGAATCACTGAGTATACACACGCGGATTTTTAAAATACCAAATAAAATGTGACTAGAAAGATAAATTGAGGCATGGGAAAGACGTACAAAAACAAAACGTAATGTTTCAACCAGTCTTCATCAACAGATTACTAAGTACAACACACGCTATGATGAGAAAACTCAACAGACAAAACAACAGAGCTTTCAACAACCATAACAACAGAGCTTCTAAAAATGTAAGGTCAACATGAAACCAAGAAATACTTAATGGGGAGGAAATATATCGACACAAAGGGCTATATCACAAAATGAAATGAGTAACACATAGTTTAAAAAATATAGAAAGGGGAAGAAATTTAAATCAGTTAACCACTGTAGGATGTTTAACAGTTTGACCTTATGATATGCAAAATCATCTGTAGCAAACAATACTTGGCTGTATATAAGACAGAAGGCTTATTTTTTTTTAAATGTTCGTTCTTGCTGCCAGTGGTTTCTAGATGAGAAGGCCATAGGCCTCTATGAAGTCTGTGTTGTGACTCATGTCTTCCTCTGTTCTATACAGCTTGGTTTTTCCATCAGAATGCCAACTTGCCAAACCTGTGATCTATCTATTGCACGCACGGAGCATGTCTGTAGCACATGTTCAGTATTCTATGTCAAAGATATTCTGAGATTCTTATGGCATCAAGTATTTAACTAAATTATTAAAATTTTGATAACTTAAAACACTGTTACTGTTTCGGTTTGTTACTATACAATCACGTCCAGCAGTCTACATCTGGCTGTAACTTGCACACTGGACGTTTACCAAAATTCTGATTTTAATCTGATAACAAGATCACTAGCTGGTGTTCTGTGGTGTCCAGTGTCACTAATGTTCTGCAGTATCCATTGTCATTAGTCTTTGTGTACTAGTTTTCACCATTAAGGAGAGTTTCTTGGTAATCTAAGCAGTAACTATCTGGACCAAGCTAGTATTTTCATATGCCTCCTGTCCAATAAATAACTCACCTCCATTGACTGTCCAGTCAAGCGATTGCTTTCTACCGGTTACTTGATTCTTTCCAGCCTATTTTATTACCCTTGGCTCTAAATAGGCGAGTTCCTCTATTAGAAGTAACTTATACCATGAACTAATTACATTTCCATGCCTGAGGCATTCCCGCAGTTGTGGTATTGTCTGTTCACATGCCTGTTGCCTTGTATCTTAGCATTTATAGATCCCTGACAAACATTTCCTTTTGTCACATCCGAGACAACTGGTTTTAAAGATATGTACAGAAACATAGATTAATTAATTTTTTTTTAGTATACTACATTTCAGTGGCAACGATCGGCAGGCCATTCCCTAGGCCTCTGTGGGCCCCATCTGTCCCGCGGGCCACATCTGGCTCATGGGTCACTAGTTGAATAGCCCTGACCTAGAGTATACCATGATATAGAATATACCATGACCTAGAGTATGACATGACTTAGAGTATGCCATGACCTAGTGTATGCCATGACCTAGAATATACCATGACCTAGAGTATGACATGAACTAAAGTATGCCATGACCTAGAGTATGCCATGACCTAAAGTATACTATGACCTAGAGTATGTCATGACCTAGTGTATGTCATGACCTAGTGTATGACATGACCTAGAGTATGCCATGACCTAGTGTGTGCCATGACCTAGTGTATGACATGACCTAGAGTATGCCATGACCAAGTGTATGCCATGACCTAGAGTATACTATGTCCTAGAGTATGTCATGACCTTGAGTATGCCATGACCTAAAGTATACTATGACCTAGAGTATGCCATGACCTAGAGTATACTATGATCTAGTGTATGCCATGACCTAGAGTATGCCATGACCTAGAGTATGCCATGACCTAGTGTATGACATGACCTAGAGTATGCCATGACCTAGTGTATGCCATGACCTAGAGTATGCCATGACCTAAAGTATACTATGACCTAGAGTATGTCATGACCTTGAGTATGACATGACCTAAAGTATGCCATGACCTAGTGTATGGCATGACCTAGAGTATACCATGACCTAGAGTATGCCATGACCTAGTGTATGCCATGACCTAAAGTATACTATGACCTAAAGTATGTCATGACCTAGTGTATGACATGACCTAGTGTATGCCATGACCTAAAGTATACCATGACCTAGAGTATGTCATGACCTAGTATATGCCATGACCTAGTGTATGCCATGACCTAGTGTATGCCATGACCTAAAGTATACTATGACCTAGAGTATGTCATGACATAGTATATGCCATGACCTAGTGTATGCCATGACCTAGAGTATGCCATGACCTAGAGTATGTCATGACCTAGTGTATGACATGACCTAGAGTATGCCATGACCTAGAGTATGCCATGACCTAGAGTATGCCATGACCTAGAGTATTCCATGACCTAGAGTATGCCATGACCTAGAGTATGTCATGACCTAGTGTATGACATGACCTAAAGTATACTTTGACCTAGAGTATGTCATGACCTAGTGTATGACATGACCTAGAGTATGCCATGACCTAGTATATGCCATGACCCAGTGTATAGCCTCATTTTTTTGAGGAAAGTGGTGGATAGGCTTGGCAAACACCAACTAACTAGTCAACCAATTAAAATGAACCATTTAAATAAAATAGGAAAATAACAAACCAAATAGTCAAACCAATTAACTAACTAACTAACCGACTATGGTAAACAACTAAAAGACAAAAAAAACCCAAAAAAAACTTGTCAAATAACTCACTAACCTGGTAAACAAGTAGTAAACAACCCCCCCCCCCCCCCCCACCACGCCCTCTTTTCCCAACAACCCTCTAAATTAAGCAACCATTAAAAAAAACTTTACAAAAATTATAAACAATACTTCAGCCAACCAACAATAAAAGAAAATAATCAATTCTATCAGTGCAGTTCCAAGCTCTGTTGTTGATGACAACCAGTACTACTCACCACAGCTCCATCATGCAGATCATCAGGAGTCTTTTCCAAAGAAACTGTTGTCCCATCAGTGACTTTTCCATTCTTCCCATTTGCCTCTGGCTGTTCAGTAGGTGGCAGTGAAGGTTTCCAGTTCTTCTTTCGCTGCAGTTTCACTTTTATGCACACTATTATTTTCACTTTCACCCAGTTTCCAAAGCGCCTAAAGCAAACAATGATATATTATTAAGCCTATATTTTCGTAAGTGTTTTCTTCTGACCTATGTCTTCCGTTCTCTTTATGAGTAAATTTTTTTTCAGGATGTCTTTTTTTCTGTTCATGGTGTTCTCATCATCATGACCATTGTCCACATTTGCCATAAAGCATCAAAGGGAGGAACAGTTTTAAGCCCATAGCTTGACAGGCATTAATTACTTTTGTCATTCAGTGTTGACATGATTCACTTTAATGTCCTCAATCCATCTTCTCCTAGGGCAAAATCTTGCTTTTTTGGGGGACAAGGGGGGTGGGTTGTTGTTATATCAAATTTGTTAACATGTAACGCTTGTACTAGTAGTTGTTCTGGCTTAATTCTAACAAGTTGACTAAACCATTTATCTTCTATTTGTCTTGCTGCACGGTGTTGTTCTCACAGTCTGATAGTATCATTTCTAACTCTGTCTCAGACACATTTGAATCGCAAACTGTAAAAACCAGTGCATCAGGCAATAAAAATAAACCTAATTTCAAGCTTCAACTTTCCTAATTGTAAATCAGCAACATGTGTGCTGGGTTTTTCAATGACCTTAAAAACATTGGTGATGTAAAAAAAAAAAAAAATAAAACGTGCTATAAATATTGCAGGTCTACACGAAACCCGTCTGCCAGAGGATAGGTCCATTAGAGAAAATAATTATACACATTTCTAGAAAGGCAGAGGTGAGGAAGAAACTTGAATGTGGTGAGGTCTCAATCACTTCCATGTATGTGACTCGCCTACTACTGTCAAAAAGCCATGATAACTGATTCTTTTAACTGCCCACTGTGAAAATTAAACCTTGGTCCCAAAGAATTATAAAGCATGATTAGTAACCCCAGAGGAAGTTTTAATAACATTTAATAAAGTGAAAGACCCATTTCCACAACCTGTGATGTAAGGGGAATAGATCTAGGGCTTTTTTGTTCTTCTGATGGTACACAATGCTAGCACCTTTTTTAATTAGTTGTGTGTCCTTTACAGGACATTGCTGAGTCAACCCCAGCAATTTTTGGCTGTTGTGATTGCTGAGTCAACCCCAGCAAATTTTTGGCTGTTGTGATTTTTCTAAGCAAAATTACGTTGAGTAGTCTGTCGTTGCTCACGAAACTGTCAAAACCAATGCAAGGCAGCTGGTGCCAATATGCCTGCAGCTGAGATCAAACCCAGCACCCTGGCATTAGGAAGCGCAGACGCAATGGCGAAGCCACAGACACTGACAAACTCATCAGTAAAATATTACATCAACTAATTTTTGCACCAACCTTTTGTTCTTTCTAAGACATTCTAAGGCGCAGCTGTACTAGGCACTCTGTGGTGCATATGGCACCTTGTGGTGAGCAATGGCATTTTTTGTCTCCAAAAAAAAGCCTGACTCGATCCATATTTTATCGATTAATACACAATGAGTCATGTGATCAGTATTGCAGGTATTATACTGGTCACATTTTCCTCTCAGAATATATTAAGCTTCCCATTTTTAGACCAGTGACACTTTAGTCCAAATTAATTGGAAAAAAATAGATCTTCTCAGTCGACGTATAAGTCAAATGGATCGATTTCATTGCATAAAATTTATTCCATATTGCTCAGTCTCTCTCCATGGAATGGCTAGCTGCCTGTCAAAAGCATTGTCCAAAGCATGAACTTTGTAGCTCCAGTGACAATCACTAGTGATCTTCATAAAAACTGAACTTGTGAACTGATCTGTGAAATCAACTCATGACCTTCAGAGTGGGAGAAGAACTGTTTGACTGTTTCAAGTAGAGATCTTGACCTAAGAGTGCTAGGTTAATAGGCAAGCTTGCAAGCCATTATGTTAGGTGCTTCATCACATTTTAACAACAAGAACAATCAACAGTACCTGAATCTGTCTATAGCTTCTGCTATTTTATTTGGTTCGTCTTCAGATTCAGACCGTGACAAGCTCTCAGAGCCAAAAGAGCTTAGCAGCAATGCAAGAAACAAATTGAGTACCTGAAAGAAAAAACAATACCATTTTACTTCTTGTTGTTTTCTTCACTGGCTCTTTTATTGCTTCAGATGTTGGGGTAGATGTAAGGTTCAGCTTCTATCTATCCGGCCGCCTTGACCACTGACACATTGTGCTCTTGTAGAGTTCATTTTTCTATCTTGTTCTTGGTCTGTCTCATGCTCTACATCCTTCTCTTTCATGGCATTCTCTCTCTCAGTGGGTAAACCACTTGATTTGCTCTCTTTGTGTGTAATTTAGAATTAGTCCTGTGTTGACCTTTTGCTCTTATGATCTCAGGGTGTGTAGGGTCAAGAAGACTCAGGGCTATAGTGGCTAAGACTATTGCGTAGTGGAGCACACCAGCTGTTCCCTCTTGTGAGTCTCTGAGTCTAGCCTTATCGCTGAAAAGGGCACACTCAGATGATAAGCCTTCTGACCTGGTAAACCTTTCTACAGTCAATACCGTTGTGCGTGACCAAAAAAAGTACATCCTTCATGAGATGATCCACATTAATCAAGGCTTCGTGGTCCTGGGACAAACACAACAGAGTAGACAACCTCGTACACAAGGAAGTTAAATGGTCACAGACCATAAGGCAGAGCAAGAAGACAGAGGAGAGATAAACTTCTGGAGACACCAAATGGAAAGAGGACCTTCACAAGATAGATCTTGGTGAGTGATATTTGCAGCAATGAACCTCAAGGTCTTGGAAAGCTGAAGGAGAAGAAGAAGAAAAAGAAGAAGACAATGTATTTTACCATATATATATATATATATATATGTATATATTATTGTCAGATGTTTGGATGTACAGCATATATAATAGGATGTACAGCATATATAATAAAAAATGTGATTACTTCTTCGCGTTCACCGGTTGTAAACTCTGGCAAAAGGTTCTGGTTGTTCATCCACCTCTGGACATTAGTCTTGTTCCAGAACCTGAGTGTTGTGTGCATATCTATATCACAGAACTGACATACTTGTACGCAGATAGTTGGTTCCTTGCCTCTCTGGCAGATGCATTCTGACTTTGAAGGAAGTACCCAATAAGTCAACTCCTGTGACATGCCTGTTGGGGAGGCAGTGTGTCTGTTCTTGTTTTCCCCACAATGGGGTCCCGGAACCCACACGGGGATAATGTGATTAAATAATGTTTTTACAAAATGCTACTCGAACAGCAAGTTTAAGTAAAAGATAATTCAAAAGTTTCAAATCTACATACCACTAATTGTTTGTAAATGCACAGTAGATGAGATGCATATGTACTTACGACCAGGTTTCCAATAATGTATGTCAGTAGAAAGAATGGTACACAAGGCCAGCCAGCAACCCGCAGACACCACCACATGGATTCAATCCACTCTCCACACAATACTCGGAAAACAATCATAAAAGAATGAAGGAAGTCATTGAAATTCCACCTTGGCATTTTTTCTGGATCATGCACTTCTTTGCCACTGTGATAAAAGGAAAATAAATATTAACAAAACCGTTGAGTGTGTTGAAAAATTGTGATTTTGGAAAGTACTTAGAGGAGAGTATTTTATAGAGAAGATGAATAAAATACTACTCAATAACATGAACAAAATAAAAATTAAAACAAGACAAGACATTCTGGTCACATAACAGTCTGGTTTAAGCCTTTCTACCATCCATGCATTTGTATTTTTTAAAACTTGATATTCCTATTATATTAATACTGAAAAAAAAAAAGAAGTCATGAAAATAAGGAGAGAGCAACAAACCATCGAGATAAAGATCAAAGATCAAGTCTGAGAAAAGTGCAAGAATTTAAATACTGGGAATCATCTTTACACACAATGATAAAATAGACAGAGATAGAAATGAGAATCCAACAAGCCAACAATGTCAAAACAAGCCAGGCAGAAAGCTCTGGCAAGATGTCAACATGGAAAACCTAAGGCCAAAGAGACCGATGGGAAAAAGTGAAATGTGAGCTTGTAAACCAGATGTTAAGCACGTTGAATACAATGTAAATGAGTTGTTAGATAATTTAACTGTGATAGCTAGAAAAGTAAGTACATTGAGAAATTGTACTGATGGAGAAATTATAAGGAACTAACTTAAAGCTAACAAAAGTGACAAAGAAGGATAGCCTTAGTCTGTTTTATTCTGTGAAGGGTTGTATCTGTTCTTGTACAGTAGTTTAACTCATTTACCAGTGCAGACAAATTAGGAAGCATGATGCCAAAACAGATTGTATGAAATCTAGACGAGCTGTGGCCGCTGTTGAGGAAGACAAATAAATACATATCAACGAGCCCCGGAAGAGCAGCAATGCACTCTTCATCGTGAAAATAAGCCCGAATGAACAGAAAAATTTATAAAAGAGCCAAAAGGCATTTACAAAAATAAAAAATAAAAATTATGTTTAGTTGCGTATCCCTCACAGGACAATGCAGAACCAGGCTATTTGTTTTTACTAGGCAGTTTTACATTGAGATGTTTGTCACTGCTTTCTAAACCTTTGGCACTTGTTGAAATCACTGCAAAGCACTACAATTAAAACTGAATAAAACACACTAAATCAAAAGCGAAATGATTTGAGGATGAAGTTTGGAGGCCTGGCAACATTGGCTCAAGACAAACTACTGCCTGCCAGTTATCACCAGTATCCAATATGGAGATGGTCATACTCTTACACATTATACAGCAGATTTTGTGTGTGTAACCAAGATGACTGTCAAGGACTTAGAAACACATACATGACTGTAGCACATGCTGAATAATTAGAAAGTCTGTGACTGTGTTGTTTGTCCATCACAAGGGATGAGGACCACTCTTGCTTTCATCAATCATGAAACTATAGTTGATTGTCTGGGAGCCCGCAGTAGACTCACAAGCCCAATGTGGGCCTGGAAGGATCTAGGACTATGAGGGCAGGAAACAGTGTCTTCAAGTAAGGGGCCTGTTATACAAGTCTTTCTAGCCTACTATTCAGCTGCCTTTTTTTTTGTTTTCTAGATTCCTCACAAGTCTCTGCCCCTTTTCAGATAGACATTGGCCACTTTTTGAGTATTGTTAGTTTGAAGGCACACATTTAGGCACCTGTGCATGTGTGCACATCAGTGTTGAATGATTTGTCAAATGGTTATAGGAGGATTCTGACGGTCAGGATAATGAAAATGGCCTTGCATCCTTTTTTTTTTTTTATTTCAGTATTTTACAACTACATTAACATGCTAGCACCAATGAACTGAAGTATGTTTTCAATTCTGAATCCAATTTCCTTGAAATAGTCGGGTTTGGTTAACTTTTGTTGTTGCACGTATCAAAATCAGTCTCTGATAGTGATTAGATTTTCTAAATTAAAAATCTAGATGCTCATTCAATGTTATTACCATCATTATCAACATCAGATATTCTCCATATCCTTTTTTTTTAACATACTAGTTTTAAAACCACAAAAACAATTAAACTGTGATCTTTAATAACAGAGTAAAAAATAAATAAAACTCTGCAACAAACCATTATGTCCTGTAATAATTAAAACAACAATAAAAATGTTTATCTTCTATGCCATGATACAAAACTTTCCTGCTTCTTCTCTCTCACTATTCCCCTCCAACTTTCTGACCATCATGATGTACTCCAGTTTTCTCGTTCTCATGATATGATCAAAGAATGAAGACCATCTCTTTCTGATGTGGGAAATCAGTTCTCTTTGTGAGACAGTTTCTTTCAAGAATCTTTACTACACTTACAATGAGTATCGATGGGACAGTCGGACCTACCAAAAAAATGATACTGTCCTGGCGAAAATGGGACGTATAGTCACCCTAGCCAATAATCACCAAAATAAAAGAGATATTGGTACTTACCACAAAGCATACTAACATAAACAGCTCTGATCTGACCTAAAATATTATTGAAAGTTGAATTGAGAATCAACATCACATCACTAAGGGCGATACTCCATAAGCACTCCATCCCCATCTTCAGCAGCAAGCAGAAAGTTCCAATTTGATAGCACCAGTAACTGTCTTTTTTTTTATCCATCTCACCTTTCCCTTGAGCACTGAAGGCTGACTAGATCCCCTGGTAATTCCTCGCAGCACAATTTTCTTCAGATCCTAATGATCCACCTGTGCCATGGCAGAGTTCCCTCAATCTAAAATAATAATTTTAAATCAAGAGATAATTTTAGGGGGAAAAATTACAGATACCTACTTTTCATCAAATTCTACAAAAGTGTAAACCTTGTAATTCTGTGAGAACAGCTGCTGACCCATGACAGCAAAGATGAAGATCACAATGGCCAACACAATGATGAGGTTGCCCAGTGCTCCCATAGTTCTTGCAACAATGGACAATAACATGTTCAATGTAGGCCAGGACTTGGCTAACTTGAACACTCTCAACTGTAAACATGAGAAACAAGATTAGAGAAAATCAGAAGATACATTTGAAATAATTAATATCATTATACATTTAAAACTAAATTTCAAAAAATTAATATTATTATATTATGCTTAGGCACTAGACAATGCAGATTCAGCAAGCATTCATATAAATCTGGTAGCCAAACAGCTCTCTGCCAGTGTTATTGTGCTGAACAGACTCTAGAACATGGCTTACAAGACTTTCCTCTCCTAGGGAAGCTGGGTATCAACTTATGGCCAAACCCAGTAGACCTGACAAAGCTTTGGGGAAACATAAGAGACCTTGAGATGACATCCCAGTTTATGGCCCACATTGGATTCAGCACATGACCAGAGGTCATTGAAGAAGAAGATATATTTCATACATAGTAATATTGTGAAGGGCCTTCTATGGACAGCTGGCAGAACAACAATAGAAAGAGAGTCACAATAAATCTCCACAACGATGATCAATAGTCAACACCCAATGCCTTGTTCTAATCCTGAGAAACCTTAGGGAGTTTGCTACTTGACCATCCAGAGAGAAACAAAGTTATCCCCTTCTTCTTCTTGTGTTGTCACACAGTTACTGTGTGAACAAGGGCTGGCTGGGGACACAGAAGCCATCACTGACCACATGGACAAGGGCTGACAGGGGACACAGAAGCCATCACTGACCAGGTGCACAAGGACGACAGTAGAAAAGTCAGCTTCGAGGAATTTCTCTGAATGTGGAAAACCAATTGCTGGATGTCAAAGCAAATGTGAATGCCTCTGCTAGCAAGTCCAACCAAGCTACATTAGTGCATGCTGCTTAGAATATAGAATACAGAAGAAGAAAATCGTGGGAAGATGAATCAAGTTTTATGTTATACGAATCACCACTGCGACCTAATACTGGATATGGCTAAGACAGAAAACACACATGGTCTTTAGGCTATAGAAAACATAAAAACACTGGCTTTGAAATTGTAATTGAACTATTAATAAACCGAATGCAGAAAGAGGCTAAAACGACTATCTTTAGCTGAAATGTTTCGTAAAGGGTGAAATATTTCTCCTGGACTACAGCATTATGAAACCATCATGCCCTTTTTGTAACCTAATTTTGATCACGTCCATGAAATGTAAGCCTTGATACCAATTATGAGTTTATATGAAATCTATCTTATCTATTAAAGTCCCTTGCAGTCCGCTGAGGCCAATCACACAGTCCATAACTAGACTGAGGGTGTCCTATGAGGTTCTGAGCCAAGCGCTCGGTCTGACTGTAGCTCAGGTTATCAGAAAATGGGGGTTAGGCGGGGGCTATGTGGTTCTGAGCCAAGCGCTCGGTCTGACTGTAGCTCAGGTTATCAGAAAAGGGGGGTTAGGCGGGGGCTATGTGGTTCTGAGCCAAGCGCTCAGTCTGACTGTAGCTCAGGTTATCAGAAAATGGGGGGGGGGGGGGGGGGGGGGGGGGGGGGGGGGGGGGGGGGGGGGGGGGGGGGTTAGGCGGGGGCTATGAGGTTCTGGCCAAGCGCTCGGTCTGACTGTAGCTCAGGTTATCAGAAAATGGGGGGGTTAGGCGGGGGCTATGAGGTTCTGGCCAAGCGCTCGGTCTGACTGTAGCTCAGGTTATCAGAAAATGGGGGGGTTAGGCGGGGGGCTATGAGGTTCTGGCCAAGCGCTCGGTCTGACTGTAGCTCAGGTTATCAGAAAATGGGGGGTTTAGGCGGGGGCTATGAGGTTCTGGCCAAGCGCTCGGTCTGACTGTAGCTCAGGTTATCAGAAAAAATGGGGGGGGGGGGGGTTAGGCGGGGGCTATGAGGTTCTGAGCCAAGCGCTCGGTCTGACTGTAGCTCAGGTTATCAGAAAATGGAGGGGGGGGGGGGGGGGTTAGGCGGGGGCTATGAGGTTCTGAGCCAAGCGCTCGGTCTGACTGTAGCTCAGGTTATCAGAAAATGGGGGGGGGGGGGGGGTTAGGCGGGGGGGGCTATGAGGTTCTGAGCCAAGCGCTCGGCCTGACTAGCTCAGGTTATCAGAAAAATGGGGGGGTTAGGCGGGGGCTATGAGGTTCTGAGCCAAGCGCTCGGTCTGACTGTAGCTCAGGTTATCAGAAAATGGGGGGGGGTTAGGCGGGGGCTATGAGGTTCTGAGCCAAGCGCTCGGTCTGACTGTAGCTCAGGTTATCAGAAAATGGGGGGGTTAGGCGGGGGCTATGTGGTCTCGGGGTATGGTGTCTGCCTTGAGTGCTAGAGGTCCCAGGTTCAAGCCTTGGTAAGGGCTGGGATATTTTTTACGTGGACTTTAGTAATTTCCCCTGGTCTCTGGGTAGTGAGATCAGACACCCGTGTGTATTGTTGGGCACATAAAAAAATCCCTTGGCAGTTGCAAATCAAAAAGAGTAGCCTAACGGGGCTACCTGGGCAAAATTTGGAGTTTAAAATCTACCCAAAATATTTCAGGATCTTAGCCGGTGCTACAGAGCCCGTGCACTGTGCTGAGCTACTTCAGACTCAGACTTGAGTTAGAAGTAGAAAGGAGCACTTATGGGTTACTACCCATGTGCCATGATGTTAATTCGTTGTTTAAACTTCAAACAGTTACCCAGTGTCAATGTTTTCTGTGTTTTTATTGTACTGCTTGGGTGACTTGAGTGATGGTTTTGTTAATGTTTTTGTGGTTTCACCAACACCATATATCCATCTCTTCCTTGGTCTTCTTCTTACCTTCCACCCCAATTTTCAACTGTAAAAGGTCCCAATATTCAGTTAAGTGTGGATACAATCTTACTAGATGGACAAACCATATAATTCTCTTTTGAAAGTATTTCAGGCAAGGTCTTGTTCCGACCTTGTCTCCAGTGCTGGTATTTATAACCCTGTCACTTCTTGTAAAATCACTGAACAGATCAAAGTTATCACCAGTTCTCATTTTATTTATGTTGTTTGAAAGCAAAACACACAAGTGACAAACATCGTACAACACTGTAAAAAGGTAAAGGTTAAGTCGGGAGATGTGAACCAGCGTCATTGCACACGTTTATAAACCATAAGTGCTCTGCCACCAGTACAGACAGTTGATAAGAAACTGTCAGCCTTCGTCACCATCCGCACGCAACTCCCTAACAACAGCGACGTTCCTTCATTTACCCTAGAGTGTTAACTCTTGGTACCCATTACCTAGAGGCTGGGTGAACCCTGAAAACTGTCCGGTTTTGAACACCGGTCATGGGCTGCAGCGAGTCACAGCTGGATTTGAAAGTGAGTCTCCTATTGACTGTGCTAACGTGGCCCGGACAACACTGAGAGCATGATTACTTTAATTCTGTAGGAGAAAACTGGTTAGTGAGTTTGTCTGTCAATACAGTGGGTTGATGTCAGTTCCAGGAAATAATAAAATTATTTTTTTCTGAACATAATGAATATGGGGTCGACCGTCTCATAAAATAAAAAATGGGTACTTTACATTTTACTGAACTGTTTATTAATTGAAGGTGGCAAGGAAGAGAGCTAGCCATCCAACATCAATATTCTAAAGCCTAGAATATGGGAACATAATATTTAAAGTGCAAAAGGCATTAGCTAAAATAAAATACACACACTCAAAATACAGAAGGCTTGAACATGATATAATTGTACCCATGCAATACAAACTTACCAGCCTAAAAGCTCTCAGTACAGATAGGCCAGGTAATTTCACACTTCCCATGCAAAGTTCCATTAATGACAGGGCCACAATTATAGAGTCAAAGATATTCCAACCATCTTTGAAGTAGTTGACAGGGCTCATAGCAATGATCTTTAGAAATGCCTCAGCAGCAAAAATTATTGTGAACAGCTGCAAATGGAAGAACAAATATATAATTTTTCAATACACAACCTAACTGTTGGAGTTAACATTTGACAACAGTCTTCAGCAAAGGCTACCAATGTTATACACACACACAGACTTCAATAAAATAAAAGAACACCAATATTAAAAACATCAAGAGGACCAATATCTGCACTAAATCTAAGCATCTGATGGAGAAATAGAAGAAGAGGAAGACAAACAGAGAAAAGAGAGAAGAAAAATGAATGAAAAAACACATTTTATTTTTAAAGGGCCCTTCTTGAGAAAAGAGGAGGAGGAGAAGAAGGTGTTGGAGGAGGTGGATAAGAAGAAGAAGAGGAAAAAAAGATGAAGAACAAGAAGAAGAAGAAAAGCAGGAGAAGTTAAAGAAGAAGTGGAAGATGTGGAGTTGAAGGAAGAAATGATGACGATGATGATGATGATGATGATGATGATGATGACGATGATAAGGGTTACGATGATAAAAACTGGATAACCTGCTGTTAAGTATCATATTAAAAAAATTAATCATATAAGATTAATCTCTGCATGTAAACTAAACTTACCACATTGGCTGTTGATGAGACCTCTGCTAAAGTTTTGTCCATGTCATAATGGTCCATGGCCATGAAAAGTGTATTGACCAAAATACACAGAGTAATGAACAGGTCAACAAATGCATCCATGATGAACAAACCGACAAGTCGTTGTAGCTTCACACAATATGGATGACAGTCCCATGTACAAAAGAACTTCCACATGAGATCTTTCATTGTCTTCTGTTTTATGCTTGCCATGCTCACAAAACCTGTAATGTTTGTAATGAAATTGTTTAACCATTACTACTATTCTCTAACTGCAGAGAAAAGAACAACGCAGTCATAAGTTAAGGTTCCAACTCTACTGCAGATGGATCATCTCAAAACTACTCTCTTATGGTGCCAGAGAAATCACACAGAATCTTCTTCTTCTCTTCTCATTCACCAGCTGTAAACTCTGGCGGAAAGTTTTGGCTGTTCATCCACTTCTGGACTGCAGTCCTGTTCCAGAACCTGTGTGTTGCGTGTGCATCCATTTTACAGATCTGACTCATTTGTATGCAGGCTGCTGGTTCCTTGCCTCTCAGGCAGATGGACTCCGACTTCAAAGGAACATCATCACACAGAATATCCACCACTGTCCCATTTTAAAACTAGTGAAAAACATGTCAGTCCTAGTAAAATCTTGGAGCTCGAACATGTAAAGTGAACTGCATAAAACTGCTGTTATATTTGCCAACGTTAACAGTTTCACAATGCAGGTGACTGTTGATGCCAGCCAGCAGTCAGTTATGAAAGCTTGCACTAAAAATGCAATACTGCATAAGTACACACCATTCCAAACAGAATCAGTCACCCACCATTTTTAGTGCACTTCACAACACAAAGTCATTATAGCCTCAACAGAAAAAAAGCTTTCTACACAAAATCAACAGCTCACAGTGTTGCATCAAGCCCTCAGCTCAGTAGCTGAAGACAGAACCTTTGAACTCCCGGTCTAGAAAAGGGGAATTTGCAACAGCAATCCAGGTTAGACATGAATAACTGTTCATAGCGCCAAAGGTCAGCTGGCTATCCATCATCTTGGTTAGGAAAGACACCCCTCTGCCCCCCCCCCCCAATTAACATGGTAGTGAAATTTCATGGATAAAACAGAGTAACTTGTTGAATAAATGCTTTTCAAAATTAAGAGAGCTGACTTCATTGCACTGCGCAAGATCAGATGTAGATTCCAGCAACAACACCTAGTTCTATAAAATAAACTGGGTAATTTGAATCTTTGACACTTCTTTTACTTAATTATATTAATCAGTGTGCTATGGGAAATGTTAATTTCTACACCTTAAGACAATTGCTGAGGGAGACCTATGCACCTACGCGCATTGTGCTACTATGTCAGTTCTTAAATCAGCAATCAGTAACCCTTAAACAACTGATCCAGGACTCTTGTGCTGGCAAACCTCAATACTATTCTTAATATAAAGTAAAGGACCCTTTCCCATGCCTTCAAGTATACTGGGAATACAAGGCTAAACCTTGATTATATAGAACAATCAGCACCAGGTGGGTGATGTGGTCAGCACTATGCCGGCTGCTTTTACTTTCCAGGACTTTACCTGATACCCATTTAAGGCTCGGTCAGTCTGGAAGCCGTGGTCAATTTTAATAATAACAACAACAACAACAAAAAACCAATTCCACCTCCGTCTGGACCTGAACGCATTAACCGTGAATCCGCAGGCAAGTGTCCAGCTACAACACTATAGCGGCTTCCCATTCTCATGTTTTATATATATATATATATATATATATATATATATATATATATATATATATAATTATATATATATATATATATATATTATAGAATATATATATATATATATATATATATATATATATATATATAATTATATATATCCTAAACAGAAATAAAACTATTCATTTTTGCAATAAAACACAATGATGAATGACATAATAGACATTTCACCTAGAAAGCTCTTAACAGCAAATAAAAACAAGGACATAATACTAATGCTAACATGGGTTCATTAAAGGAGATAATGAAGACTTACACGTTTTAGGCAATGTTACCGGAAGATGTGAACATTTTCCATTTACATAAATAAAGTAATGATCACCTCCAAATGTGCTAAACGTACTCATAAAGAACCAAAGAATAATAACACTGGAACCTGTCTGTCCCACATGTTCTAAGAGGTGACTAAATGGCCTGGAGTAGCAACCTCATTCAGTTGAAATTTTTAACTGTAATTTTGAATGTTGTATTAGGAGTCGACATCACATCATTCGGGACATTCCCATATTCTCTCTGTCCCTATCCTCATAACAAGTACAGTGTTCTAATTCTGATGGTACAAGCAACAGTCCAATTGTATACCGGTCTCCCCATTCCCTTGAGTGTTGGGCATTTTCAGCTGCAAAATGCAGGAACTATTAACAAATTTACTTGTCTGAGGACACATGGTAAATGAGATGAAAAGATTACTTATGTACTTACTCCTTCTGTGTCCTGAGGCCTGATCAAGGATGTCTTTGAGAACCATAACATCTGTAATAGAAAAGAATACATTTTATTTAAAAGTTATCTTTATTTTTTAAAAACAACACGGCTATCCTCTGAATAACGGTCGGTAAAAATAGCGGCCGCAAAATATCCTTTCGAGGAACAGTCACGTGTCAATTGCGCACTTCCGGCGACCTAATTTGCGGTTCTCCGGCGACTACCACCACCGCTACGAGTCACCCATGCCGCTTACGCTAGATGGCTAGGACCCGTGAGCAGCAGCTTCTGCATCTCCTGAAGCTTTGCTCCTGAGTCCTAGCCATCTAGTTTAGCCCTAATCCATGCCGTGTGAGTGGCGTGGGGGACTCGTGGTGGTGGCGGTAGTCGCCAGAGCACCGCAAATTAGGTCACGTGACTGTGGCTTGAAAGGATATTTTGTGGCCGCCATCTTTACCGACTGTTATTTGGAGGATAGCCAACAACACTGTACGTTATATTACATCCAATGTAGTCAAACGTGTCTGTAAAACATACTAATTTACTCATGACGCATTACGATGCACTGTTGTAGAGCTGGTCTATGTTGATGAGGAAATCATGTCAAATGAATTATAATGAGCACTCATTGAAACCCTTTCATGCGACACTGCATGTAAATGTGTGCACTGAAGATGATTATGTAATTTGCAACCATGTGATTTTCATTTGGGTGGATCCCTAAAGAAAGCTCTGAAATGGCAACAGTTTTTCACAGATGCAGATGTAATAAATGCAATAAACACTTGGATTAGTCAGCAACCACAATCCATGTTTGCAGATGGCATTCACCTCCTAACTAAGCAATGGGATCCTTAACTTATGTCTATAGCAACCTTCTCTGACCCAACCATAATTAGTTAAAAATGGCGTGACAAAATCAATCAATGTATGTTGCTTTTATTGATCTTATCAAGGTATTTGATTTGGTTTGTCGAAAAGGTCTGTTCAGTGCGTTGGGTGCCCACCAACCCTACTGAGCATTACTGAGTCGTTCCACACAGGTATGAAAGGTACAATCAACTTTAATGGTGTAACACAGGAGGAGTTTGTAATCAACAACGGATTGAATCTGTGATGTGTACTTGCTCCTACCCTCTTTAGAACAGTCTTCTCACTTCTTCTGGAACATACCTTTCGTGGTCAAGAAGTTGGTATATTCATACATTTCGATCTGACAGCAGCCTTTACAATGCTCATAGGCTTAAGGCCAAAAACAAGAATAATAAAGGTACTTATCAGAGAGCTGCTGTTTGCAGATGATGCAGCAATAACCACCCACTCAGAGGAACAGCTGCAATGCTTTTGCTGATGCATGATGTGAATTTGGACTAACAATCAGCAAAAAGAAGACAAAAGTTATAGTGCAAGGTGTTAAAATTAGACCTGCAGTCTATATTGATGTGCTTGAGACAGTTGACTATTTTACCTATCTGGGTTCCACAGTGAATAATAAACTATCGCTGGATCAAGAAATCAACATCAGGATAGGAAAGGCGGCAACAACAATTAGCGGATTAACAAAAAGAGTTTGAGAGAACAGAAAGCTCACGGTTAAAACAAAAACTCTTGTCTATCAGGCTTGTGTTCTCAGTACTCTGCTTCATGGCAGTGAAACTTGGTCAACTTATTTGCAGCAGAAGAGACAGCTAAATAGCTTTCCCATGCGATGCCTAAGAAGAATACTGGGCATTAAGTGGCAGGACAAGATCACAAACACTGAGATATTGGAAAAAGCAGGTATTACAACACTCTTCTCAATGTCAGTATACGAAGGCTCAAGCGGCTGGGTCACACCTGGAGAATGGATAATGGCAGATGCTGTAAGGACATCCTTTATGGTAAATTAAAGACTTATAGAAGATGTTGAGGCCGACTTCTGCTGCGATATAAAGACGTGTGCAAGCAGGATATGAATGATACAGGTATTGAGGTGGACTTGTGGATACAAAATGCTGTGGATAATGTTGTGAGGAGGGGGCACATTAGGAAGGGAATAAGAATGAAGGAAGAAATGATTGCAGAAGGGATGAGAGCTGAGCGTCTGAGAAGTAACAGACTAAACACAAATGTTGACAATAATGGTCCTGAAATACCATGCTATAATTGTGGAAGACTTTTCTTAACACGGGCGGGTCTTGTTAATCACACTTGCCATCGCTTGGGCTGTGTCCATGCCTCTTCACAGTGCAATATAACACTATCGTCTGAAAAGACCGAAAGGTGCCGATCAATCAGACATTCAATTAAAGCCATAGGAATGGGTTTAAAATATGTGCTCCTTATATTTGCAGGTCTGTATGGTGGTGGTGATGTGGCTGTGAGGATGATGATGATGTTCATGTTGGAAACATACCTCTCATCTCTACACTATGTCCACCAGAAGTAGGACTTAGGAATGGATTACTCTCTGATGCTTTCTCCTTCTCCACAACTTGGCCTGAGCCACTGCTGATCGAATCTTGCTGTTGAATATATACATTTGCATAACATAAAAATGCATTACATCTTCGTAACAATCAGTTTAAAGAAGTATAGCAGGTACTTTACATTTTCATATTGTACCTGCTTCAAATGTTAACATGAAGGTAATATTTAAATGTACTTTCTTTTTGCAAAAACACTATAGTTAACTAGGAAAGAAATCTAAAGAATAAAACAAAAGAATACAAGTTAACAGCTTCACAAGCAAGCAATGGATAATCAAGTCAAGAAATCTGTTAATAATCAGCTGGATATGTGTAAGGTGAATGTATATGTTATTAAAGGTATGTATAATAAGGCTAACTTGATATCCCTCAAGAGAAAAAAAGGTCTCTTTTCCACGCATTTAGGCGTATTGGGAATATAGGGCACGACCTATATTTTTATAGACCAATAGGCACTTAATGGGTGATGTGGTCAGCATCACACTGAAAATAAGGCTAAAGTAAAGATAAACTATAGTAAATAAACAAACAGTGTTCTCTTACATCATCATCTAGCTTTGACTTGTCTAGAACAACATCAGGCACTTTTCCTTTTCTAAAATTCAGTAAAGTCTCCAGCTTGCTCCTGTCTCCAGCTTGAGATCCACGACTTTTACGAGAAGTTCGACTGTAATTGGATGCATAGCTGCTTCTTCTACTCCCCGACTGGCGAACAGCTACAACTTCTGGGTGTGGAACTGTATTTCTTTTCTGAGAAGCAAAGCTGAACTGACGGCCATTGGGGATATTCTTCAGCAAGTTATAACTGCATAGATCTTCTGAAGAGGGTGTAACTGCTGCAGAATCATCAGCAAATGGCAGAGGAATGTTTTCTAGTGTGTGGTGAACTAGGGGCAGCCGATCTGCTGCATGTCCTCGTTTAGCTGATGGAACTGGTGGTTTTCTCCAGTACTGGCTGCCCCGGCTGTTTCGACGATAAATGTAGGGAGAACCAGGCAGGCTCAAGCTATGCTGTGAACACAAAAAAATACACACTATAAGACTGTTTGTTTGGTGCTGCGTAGTTTGTATGTTGGATCGTTGACTGAATGAATGATTGGTAGGTTGGTTTGAGGGTTGGATGAATGCTGTCTGGTTGGTTGGTTAGATAGTTAGATGAGTGTTTGGTTGAAATTTTGGTAGCATCAATGGTAGATAATTGGTAGATAAACCGGTAGAATAATTGGAAGCTTGCTTTTTGAAGGGGGAGGAGGGGAGTTGAATGATAGGCTAGTTAGGTGGATAGTTGGTTTTTAGGCAGGTTGGTTAGATGAATGTTGGCTTGATGAAAGTTGGTTGGTAGGCAGTGCTAGATGTTAGTCTGGTGTGGGTATGGGACACTTAGTATAATAATAGTAAATAGTTTGTGTCTACACTTAGTTGACCTGTGCATGAACTAGAGTTCACTATGACGGACAGATAACAGTGGGAACTCATGACTGACTAAGTGTTTTGCTTGCTAAGTCACAAGTATTGCAAGAATGCTCGACTGAACTGTGGACTGCAATAAAACTAGCTGACAGCTATTAATCGAGAGAGTTATTTTCCAGGACAGGCGACTGTAGCCATGTTGTCATAATTCGACAAATAGACTGTAATATTTGTGCTAGGTGTAGACTACAGTGGCCGATAGTTTGTGTTACAATGTGTTGTAGACAGTAGCAGTAATCTGGTGGTATACCGCCTCCAACAGAGATAGGGTTTGTGTGTAGCTTGTTACATGGGTAGCTGGTTAGGTATTATTGTTAGTCTGGTAGCTAAGCTTGGTTTGTATTGGTTATTGTGATTTGATCTATTCTCACTTTCTTTTCCCAGCACCCGGTGGATGCTGCTCGATCCTAATGTTGAGTTCAGTGGCGGAGGTAAGAGCTGTACAGAAACTGTGTTGGTTTGGACCCAGTACTATCCATAGGAACATGACAGGAGTGAGAGGTGATTTGTAAAGCCCTCATGTCCTTTGTTTCAGAATGGGGTACCCACGAGTTCTGAGGTTAACTGCGTTCTGTTATACTGTTCTTTGCATTAAAGATTGTTGTGTGCTCTGTAGGTGTTTGGGCTTAGTGTGCATAGAATAAACTTATCTGTCACGGCCTACAAGACGAGCCATGTGCCGTTTCGTCAGATATAATGTCTCTGACAGGCAGGTTGGTTGGATTATTAGATGGGTGGCTGGTTAGTGGGCAGGCTGGTTAGATGGTGGGCTGGTTGGTAGGCATGTTGTTTAGTTAGTTAGGTGGATGGTTGGTTGGTTGGCAGGTTGCTTGGATGGATATGTGATGGCTGATTGGTAAGCACGCTGTTTATATGGTTGGTTGGTGAAAGATTGGTTTGTAGGCAGGTTGGTTGGATGGTTGGTTTGTAGGCAAGTTGGCTGGGTGGTTCAGTGGATGGCTGGTTTATATTGAAGCACTGGTCACATGAGTTTTTGGTTAGTAAGTACTATATTTATGCATGCATAGGATTCAAGCTTGTACAGGCAGCACCTAGTTTCTGAGATAATAAATTTAGGAAAAATAATTTTCTTAAAAATTTAATTGAGAGTCAAAATCGGATGACTAGTACCTAATAGCAGAGAAAGAAGGCCTCCATAAGAACAAATTACAGTTGTAAACTGATGTTGCAAGTAGTACGTTAAGTGCAAGAGGAGGAGAACCGAGCAGCGGCAAGTAAGTTCGATGTGGATTAGAAAAATGTGTGAAGATGGATTGGAATGAAAGATGTTCTTGAAAATTTTTCTAAAGTGAACAGTCTTTTCTTAGCAAGAAGGCAAAATACTTAATCTGCTGGAATATTCAAAAGAATATGGGCAGAGTGATTTTCTGTGTCCCTGGAAATCTTACAGTTTATTAAAGTGCGTCAGAAATCAGGCATAATCAGTGGACAACAATGGTGCAGCGACTTCCTAAAACCTGCCAGGAGAAACTGTTTGCACTTTAAAGACGTGTTCTGAAATTACAGAAGACACACAATTACAACAAATGGTAATGCAGATGAAACTCCTGTATTCTTTGCTATGCCAGGTGAAACAACTGTGAACAAAGCTGGTGACAAAACAGTGCACAGAAAAACAACAGTTCACCATAATGCTAGGTGTCACTGTAAGTTACATGTTGGCCTAATATCTCAAATATAAGCCAGACCCTTATTTTTATCAATCCTTTTTGGTTAAAATTCTGCCGCCTTTACATGCATAAATTCTGTAGTTCACAACAGGCAAGTGGCTCACTAGGGCAACTTCACATTTATAACAAACTCCTTCTGTTTACATTTGGGGGAGGGGAGGGGGGTGTTCATTCTTATTGTAAAAAAATTTATCTAGTCTCAACATTTGCCTGTTTTGTTGTGGTTATTTACTCAGAAGGCCTGTCATTGTCAATTACATGTCTGCAATGAAGCAAATGAAATTCTACAGAGAAAGTTGGGTCATGACACTCTTGCAGAATAACTCACTTGTGAATGATGCCATTTGGGTATATGTTCTACCAGTCTGTTTTCATAAGTTGTCTCTCTCTGTTTGATTGAGGTAAGTCAACTGGCACTTACATGTAAATTGCTAAGTATAACTGGATTTGGTATACAGAAACAATGGGTCTTTCTTTAACAGGCGGGAACAGGATGGAAACTGGATAAATTCTTGTAGATTGAGCACTGTAATTTTGTTCGAGGTTGAGTTGGATGGGATGCAGAAAATTAGTACCCATGAAAATTAGATGGCCAAGAAAGGCTGCAGGACTGACCAGAGGTGGTCAGGCATGAGGTCGTAAGAAAAAGCTCAACAAAGAGCCAGTTCTAGATTACATATAAAGACAGCAAATAAAAGGTTTTGCTCAATTAGAGAGAATGCCTTCCAATGCCATATCATACAAGGCATACATCAAAAGAGGAGAGGGATGGTAGAGCAAGGGATAGATCAAGAACAAGATGGAAAGATAGCATTAGAGAAACTGTCCAACAGTCTGATGTGTCTTTGGTGGATGCAATAACCAAAACTGTTTATCTCTCTAAACATCCAAAGTAGTACAAGAGGACGTGGAGAATAAAAAGCTACTCATTATGTTTAAAATAAATAAAAACACTCTATGCCAGGTGCATATACTCACTCGTTTCTGCTCAAGTGCACTAAGTTTCAAGTGTGCGCTGGCCACTGAGTGGTCACTTGTCATCGATAGTCTCTCCTTCTCATCTAGTTTGTCAACAGGCAGCTTTTCAACTCCATCAAATTCATTCCAAGAAGAATTGCTAGGACTTTTAGTTAGGATACTTATGGCTTCCTTCCTGGCTTCTTCTTCCTGAAACAAACAAGAACAATAAAACATTTAGCTTCACAGATTAAGTAAAAGAATATTCTTTCAGCAGATGCAGCCTTTTGTTGTTGTAAATTTTGTTGTTGCAAAGGTTGTAAACGTTGTTGTTGTAAATGTTGCTGTCACTGATGTTGTTCTAAACTTTCTTGTTGTTCATTTTTTATCTACTGATGTAGATTGGGCTGCTTCAATTTGGATACCTTTCCGATATCTTTGACCACCACTTGTCCTCAAGGGTAAGGAGGAGCATAATTATGGAAAATATAAGCCTTGCACAAAATAATTACATTGTTTACAGCGTGTGTTGAGAGCAGAGATATCTCCAGCTTTCCTGAATTGCTAAAATTTGTCAAAACAAGATCCTCAGAATTGCTGTTGCCCACTTGCAAGATTTGCAAAGGATCATAGTTGATTATTTTCCTAACACTGACTCTAGGAACATCTACATTTGGATGATAAACTCATTTTCCTGTGACCCAAAACATAAACCTACTGGAATGAGGAATGACACTTTTCAAAAATCTACTTGAAATCAGCACACACAGTAGTTTAAAACTGAGAGATTCCATGAAGGAAACCAAAATGAGTTTAATGAGCAGGTGTATTCAGAAAATAATGCTGGGTTTTTACTTGAACTGATCTCTGTTAGTCTGCACTATCAATGTACGCTAACATACACAGAAACTGATACTGGAGCAATCTTTTTGGGTCAAGTGATTTGAGGCTAAAATTAATAAAACTTCCCATAATTATAAAGAATATAATAAAATATGTATCCAGTTTCATCCATTGCATTAAAGACAATAGAGCATTATTTTTGCACTGTTTTCTCTTTTTTTCCTAACTTTTTAAACCGCTCTGAGGATAGCTGTGCTGCAAAATATGTTTTTAATTTTTTTTAAGCTCCACGAGGGTGCCGTGGCAAAAACATTTGAGAACTGCTACTGTTCACTATACATACACACATTTAAAATCAACAAAACACTAAAGTAAAATGTAGGCTTAGTTACAAACAAATTATGTTAAACTTAATATTTTTTTTAAAACATGTTTAAAATATATCCTTTTGAAGGATGCCCGTGTCTACCCAGATACGTATAATCAAAACATCTCTTTTGTGTGGCTATTTAAAAAAAAGTACTTTGTGATACCTGTTTCAAACACAGACACACACAGACATTGAATAAAATTGTTACTTTCATGACACAGGGTTAGTAAATAGAATAAAACAACAACCTGATGATCGCTTGACTAAAACAACATGATGATCCACTGACTAAAACAATATGATGATCCACTGACTAAAACAATATGATGATCCAATGACTAAAACAATATGATGATCCACTGACTAAAACAATATGATGATCCACTGACTAAAACAATATGATGATCCACTGACTAAAACAATATGATGATCCACTGACTAAAACAATATGATGATCCACTGACTAAAACAATATGATGATCCACTGACTACAACAACATGATGATCCATTGACTACAACAATATGATGATCCACTGACTAAAACAACATGATGATCCTCTAATTAAAACAACCTGATGATCCCCTGACTAAAACAACCTGATCATCCGCTGACTAAAACAACATGATGATCCTCTAACTAAAACAACCCGACGATCCCCTGACTAAAACAACATGATGATCCTCTGACTAAAACAACACAGCTATCCCCTGACTAAACAACATGATGATCGTCTGATTAAACACCCTGATGATCCCCTGACTAAAACACCCTGATGATCCCCTGACTTAAACACCCTGATGATCCCCTGACTTAAACACTCTGATGATCCCCTGACTTAAACACCCTAGTGATCCCCTGACTTAAACACACTGGTGATCCCCTGACTTAAACACCCTGATGATCCCCTGACTTAAACACCCTGGTGATCCCCTGACTTAAACACCCTGATGATCCCCTGACTTAAACACCCTGATGATCCCCTGACTTAAACACCCTGGTGATCCCCTGACTAAAACACCCTGATGATCCCCTGACTAAAACACCCTGATGATCCCCTGACTTAAACACCCTGGTGATCCCCTGACTTAAACACCCTGGTGATCCCCTGAATTAAACACCCTGATGATCCCCTGACCTGTCTCTCAGCTGCCTCCTCGTCAGCGTCTGCCTGGTCCTGTTTCTGAGTTTCATCGTAAGACATGGCTACAATGGCCAGTATCAGGTTGACAAGGTAGAAGGATCCCAGCAAAATGACAATCACGAAGTACAAGAAGTGAGGGGAACCTTCCGCTCTCAACACCTGGTGGAGACCATCAAGGATTGTTGTGTATATATAGTGTCATAGTTTACAAGCAATCACTGAATGTTAAAAGGGAAGAATAGAAGAATAAAGTTAAACACACACACACATACACAAGAGAGAAAAACAGAAGAAGAAAGAAAGAAAGAAAGAAAGACAGACAGACAGACAGACAGACAGACAGACAGACAGACAGACAGACAGACAGACAGACAGACAGACAGACAGACAGACAGACAGACAGACAGACAGACAGACAGACAGACAGACAGACAGACAGACAGACAGACAGACAGACAGGACAGACAGACAGACAGACAGACAGACAGACAGACAGACAGACAGACAGACAGACAGACAGACAGACAGACAGACAGACAGACAGACAGACAGACAGACAGAAAGAAAGAAAAGAAAGAAAGAAAGAAAGAAAGAAAGAAAGAAAGAAAGAAAGAAAGAAAGAAAGAAAGAAAGAAAGAAAGAAAAGAAAGAAAGAAAGAAAGAAAGAAAGAAGAAAGAAAGAAAGAAAGAAAGAAAGAAAGAAAGAAAGAAAGAAAGAAAGAAAGAAAGAAAGAAAGAAAGAAAGGCAGACAGAAAGAAAGGCAGAAAGAAAGAAAGAAAGAAAGAAAGAAAGAAAGAAAGAAAGAAAGAAAGAAAGAAAGAAAGAAAGAAAGAAAGAAAGAAAGAAAACAAGAAAGAAAACAAGAAAGAAAGAAAGAAAGAAAGAAAGAAAGAAAGAAAGAAAGAAAGAAAGAAAGAAAGAAAGAAAGAAAGAAGAAGAAAGAAAAGAAAGAAGAAAGAAAGAAAGAAAGAAAGAAAGAAAGAAAAAGAAAGAAAGAAAGAAAAGAAGAGAAAGAAAGAAAGAAAGAAAGAAAGAAAGAAAGAAAGAAAGAAAGAAAGAAAGAAAGAAAGAAAGAAAGAAAGAAAAAGAAAGAAAGAAAGAGAAAGAAAGAAAGAAAGACTAAGACAAAGAAAGAAAGAAAGAAAGAAAGAAAGAAAGAAAGAAAGAAAGAGAGAAAGAAAGAAAGGCAGACAGACAGAAAGGCAGACAGAAAGAAAGAAAGAAAGAAAGAAAGAAAGAAAGAAAGAAAGAAAGAAAGAAAGAAAGAAAGAAAGAAAGAAAGAAAGAAAGAAAGAAAGAAAGAAAGAAAGAAAGAAAGAAAGAAACTGATGTCGAATTCAAAGCCAGGGACATAAATGACAATGAACAGAATAGTCTTAAATGTATTTTTAAAATTGATAGGGGTCCGGGGTGATTTCATACACATCCCAGAATATGTCATGTCTGGAATAGTAAACAGAAACTGAAGAAAGACTTTTACTTCACATTAGTATGTCTTCCCCATGTGGGACGCAATTTTTTGTGATTCTGAAGCCCCACCTCGGCTTTTGTCGAGGGCCGCAATATAGCCTGAAGGCTGAACGCGGTTTCTGGGACCTCTCCACGTGTGATCTTTATGCACATGGTGGCACTTTGTGTCACCGGATGTTTATCGCTTTGTGTGATGTCCTGGTGGGGTACAATTTACTTAATTACTTACTTCAAGTACATTATGACATCACTGTTATATTAAACTGCGTCCCAATGTCAAAAGCCCTTTTTTTGTGGTTTTTTGTGTTATTTTGAAGCACCACCCTTGCTTTTACCGGGGGAGGGGGGGAGTCCTAGTATAACCCAACCTATGGGTTGAACGGGGTTTTTAGGACCTCTACCCGAATGAACTTCATCAGCATGGTAGCACTTTGTGTCATCGGTTGTTTATCGCCTGGTGGATGTCCTGATGGGTTTGAATCTCAAATCACTCATTCATTATTTCAGAGCAGACTTCCCAAACAAACAAAAGTTAATTGGTGTATGTTCCACATTTGTAAGCAATACATTGTTGGAGAACATTAAAACTGCAAAGTGCTGGTATTGTTGAATTCTTAACAGAACCATCCCATGTTTAAAAAAAACATTTTATGTGTAATGTGACACCACATGAAAAGCAAAATGAAATTGTAGACAGATTATTGGTTTATTCACACAAGGCAAGCACTGAAACAGCAAATGATATAAAATGATATAGGAGATTGTGGAAACATTGAAAGAACATAGACTACCACTGTCAGAGTGTCATTACTGTGCACAAAGTTATGACATGCCGCCAACTGTAAAGGTAGACATGCGAGAATACTTGAGCAATTGGAAACAGCTTTATTTTGCAGCTTGTGAAATTATTTTCACCTTCACGATCTACCCAGCCTAAAATGAGCATCAGAAAATTGTGTGCAAGGTAAAGGTGCTGGTCAAATGCCCACAACAGGGCTGACTGTTCAGCTAAGTTTACCCAGAGGCCAGCATTTTGAAAATGAGAATCATCACGTACCAGACGCTGGAGCCCCAGCATAGAAAGATCTTCTCTCTAACCACGCAAATGTATCGGTCATTAAGGCATACATATCTGCAGGAGTCACTTCCGTGGCAGCTAATAGCACCATTATATAAGGATATATTTACTTAAACAAAAAAAAACCAGATGTCCCCGAGGAGTCAAATAAACACGCAGATCTGGGGGAAACACCCAAGCATTGGCAGCCCTGATGTCGACCTCACTGTCTGTTTTGATTCGTGACTTGTCCGCTCCGTATTTGCAATGCAGTCATGGGAGTGAACTCCCACTAAGCGACCGTCGGCTTTCCAGCTAGCGATCGGTATTTAAAGGAGAGCCGAAAGATTATTCGTACAACACAACACAACTTCACTACAACATCGAACTTACCAGATGGTACAAACTCTCCCAGAAATCCTGTGTCATCAGACGAAAGGCACACAACAGAGCCATTCCAAAGTTATCGAAACTTGTATAATGGAAGTTTGGATTTTCACCAATGTTCGGAATACACAAGTACAGCGCCGTACCGTTGATTGTCTCATTGCCACATTTCCTGTCAAGAGAAGGTTCAAATACTCGCATGGCAGTAAGCACAAAATACACAATATGCATGTAAAACAAGCATTCTGCTCTCACAAATTGAGCAAACAGACCACGTCTTTCAGGAAACTGATGACTAAAATATTTTCTCTCGGCTTAGTAATGTGCGTTTCGCTTTAATAGCATTAAAGTATTGAAACAAACAAGAGAAGATAATTAACCGACTTCGTATTCTGCGGCTGCTGCCTGCTGTTGCTGCTGTTGCTGCTGTTGCTGCTGCTGCTGCTGCTGCTGCTTCTTCTTCTTCTTCTTCTTTTTTCCGCTATATATCAACACACGCCCAGCCATCCTATCCTTTGCTACTCATGCAGTTCGCCCCGTGTCTTCCCCATACCCCATCTTTTCAGCTGACTCCCTAGTTCCATTGTCCATATGTATGTTTTGGGTCTGCTGTGTTTCTTTGACCCTGTGCGTTCCAATTTAAAGACATTCTAGTTATATTATTTTTCACTATTAGTAATAACAATATGGAGGTACTTTCCTTAAATACACTTTAGGCTACGGGACAAACCAGTGCATTTAGCCCTAATCTATGTGACCCCTTACGTGCAAATAATTGAAAATTATTGAATTAAAAAAAAAAAACATACGCTCATTGGTACCACCAGTAAAACCCGTGATGTTTAAAATGAATGATGTACAACACAGATGATACAGTGTATCGGCACAAACACGTGAGGGGAGTTGAGTTGATTCAAGAAACAACTTCACAGCACTTGGGGCATTCCCATAAGCACTCCGCAGCCAGTGAAGAGTTCCAATACTAATGGTGCCAGTAGCAATATGACTTAACGTCTGTCTTGCCTTTCCTTTCAGCCTCTATAAGAACCCCTCGTCACTCCCCACTGCATCAATCTCACCAGACTGTGGTGATCTATCTGCTCCTCCGAACTGTACACGCTCTCCCAAAAGGCACTCTCCACGTCTGCCTTATCATGCATCAGTATTCCACGAAGTTGTGCAGAGCCAGCTAGTCTGTCCGCCTGTTCATTTCCCCACACACTGGCGTCTCCCGGTGAAAAAAAAAAAATCCAGACAATACTCCTCACCCGTGTCCTCCACAGTAAACCATGCCTGTCCTGACCTTCCTCAGCATGCTTTTGAGTCAGTTACAATCACGATGTGTGTGTGTCGTGTTCTCTAACTAGCGGAAAGCAGTGAACACTCCACCACAAACAAGTGACTATGAAATTTTAAGTTGGCTCTTTTCTGTCTTTCCAGAGGATACTATTATATCATGCATTGAGGAGGCAAGAGACTCACATGCTGTGGCGATGGCGAGTGCGACCAGCAAGACCCGCCCGCGTTAAGAAACGACCTCAGCAATTTGGGCACGAAATTTTAGGCCTGTTCTTGCCATCATTTGTATTTAGTTTTTTTTTCTCTCAGACGCTCATTTCTTATGTTTGTACTTGGTTAGTATCACTGACACAGACAGCACAGGTGAACATTTTGAAATTATCATGAATTTTTTGTTAGTGTTCAGCACAACCATTTGATAGACCTAATTCCAATTCCAATTCCAATTGTCCAAAAAAAAAATTCCAAATTTGATCCTTTTTCAGCTGCCCCGAGGCCTGCTATATGAAGGACGGTTCCTTGTCAGTCTTATTTGGTTTCCTTTTATTTGTGGTGTGTAGTCACGCCTGATATTCTGGTTCTTTGCTTCCTGAGTCCGGTGTGGTGCTTGTGGTTTTTGGGTCTAGTATGGTCCAGTTCTCTTAGTGCTATCAGTGGGTTTTAGCCGATTGTTGCTGGTTCTTGGTTTACCTCGTGCTGATCGCTGTGCTGGTGCCCTATCGCTGCTTTGTTGCCGTTTTGTAAAGCCGCCGGGAAAAGTCAAACAAACACCAGGACTTAATTGTTGAAGCTGTGATTATATAATCAGTGTTTTGGTCTGGTCATAGATTTGCATGGGGCTTCTAAACTAGTGAGGCCCTTGGTAATTACCAAGCCTGTCTACTGTTTAAGACAGCCATGAGAGGAGTTTCTGGAAAGTACTCTGCAATGTTTAGGAGTTCCACCTATAATTCTTTTCTTTTTTTTTCTACACATCTAAACACATCCTTTCTTCTAATGGGGTTACTTAAAAACTTAACCGAATATATCGACTAGAAGTGCACCTCACAGGACTATGGAAGGTACAGGAAAAGCAATTGACTGGGCAGACATTCTCAATTTTCACAAAGAGGCAGGACGAGAAGATGATTCACGAAATGACGTTGAATTGGCAACAGTCAAAAGACGACAAGGACTTTAGGTCAAAAGAAGTGTCGCTAAACACAGAACACTATACAGGTAGCCAGGGGAGAATAGTAAACCAACATTGAACTGGTGAAGAATGTAGTGATATAGTGAATATAGGATCCGAGCTAATAGACTTGCCCAATGTGCAATGAGGATAATCTTTCGATTAATGAACTAGCTAACGAACGAACAGGGTAAATAGGTACTGTTACTTACCCACTTGTGGAGGCGTTACCACAAACTTGATATTCACCGTAAAAATCCAACATCCAGTTAGCTGATGATGCAAAAAGATATAAATCGTTTAACCCTGAAGAGCCTGCTGGGCCATGACTGACCCAACCCAAAGAAAAAGTAGCTTCAAAGCAAGCATAATTGATTAACATTGACAAATTCCTGCCATAAGGACCCAGTGTGGCATGCGAGGATCATAAGAACGGGAACGGGAACTCCAACACTGCTGAACAGATCAATGCCATTTAAATTTAAAATGCGATTCTTATTTCAATATCCGCCGTAAGTTATTCATCATGTAGCAGGTCATTTGCAGAACGTCGCTCTCATCACAGTCTGCCTGAAAGAAACTTGGTCTCTCGCCAGTTCTCCCGTTTCATGCATTTTCACATTCAAGGAGTCACCTATATCCTGTGCCCATCTTCGTGTCGGTCGGGCCCTGCCCCTCCTTTCTGGTACCATGCCTTCTGCTATATTTTTTTTCCCAATCCGTTGTGGCGCTTGATATGACCAAAATATTTCAGCTTTCGAGAAAGGATGCTGTTTATTAGCCAATCTTTCTTGATGTTCAGGTCTTTAAAAATGTCAATATTTCTCGTCTTCTTTGTCCAAGATATTCTGAGAATAAGTTATTATTAAGTAAGTTATTACTAACTTTAAAACGACGCCTTGGGAGTCGCCGTTGTAGAGCTTGCCTGTAAATCTGAACGACGTGGTTTCGAATCCTAGCAATACCGGATTTTTTAAAACTAGTTTTCTTTTTAGAATACCTTGGTTCCCAGGTCGACACTGCATTATATGGGTACCAGGTGAAGTCCTGGGAAGTAAAGGCGGCCGGCTGGACGTTGACCAGATCCCTCGCTGATTGCCGACTGGTGTATAAAATATATATATAGAACTATTTGCCCAGTGGGTGCTGCCGCAGTGTAGCGGCTAGACGTTTGCCTGTGGATCTGAAAGTATCCGAATGTCGTGGACCCGGCTCCTTATGGAGTTAGACTTTTTCCCGAGTCGGTATCAGGTAAAGTCCTGGGGAGTAAAGGCGGCCAGGTTAATGTTGACCACATCAAACACCAAGTGCCGATTTTTCTAAAACAAATATAGGTTTAACCCTATATGCTCCTTATATCTGAAGGCATAGACAAGGGTCCTTTACTTTTTAAACGGATGTCTCATAAAATGACAGTAAATATTTAGTTTTTAAAAGTGCATTTGTCAACGTGACTTTGTTTCATGTCTATTTAAACTCAAGTTTAGATTGTATGTTGGGAAATGAACAGAAAGACAATACAGGCTGGTTATGCATCACTCAGTGGTAAGCTGATTCATGGAGGTGATGGTGGTAACCAAAGCAATGATATGGCTAGAGACACAGCATTTTTTCTGTGCGAGCTGTGTTAGTGATTTCATGAGCATGCTTAAGTAGACAGAGACAGGATGGATTCCAAGAAAATAGTTGGATTAACTGAGGAAATCTCGTCTGAAAGGAATTAGTGTCAATTTTGTGCTACAACACTCTGAGGTAAGAGGGAAGGAACAAGCGGATAGGCTTGCTGGCGGGGCCACGGTGGGTACAGGAAAAGAAATGGACCGGACCGACATTCTCAATGCTCTAAAGGAGGAAGGAAGAGAAGATTATTCAAGAGACGACGTTGAATCAGCAACATTTAAAAGAGTACAAGAACTTCAGGTCAAAAGAGGTGTTGCCAAACATGAACCCTATACAGGCAGCTAAAGAAGAACAGTAAATTAACACAGAATTGGCGTTATCAGTCGCCACAGGCTGGGGGATATAGTGAAGATGGAATCTGAGTGCGTATGGACTTGACCGATGTGCAATGATGATAATCTGTCGATGAACTAACTAACAATTAGATTATCACAGTCTGAAGAAACAAGTGCAATAGGGAGTGACTAGGAGATTTGGCCGACATTTCACAATAAGAGGAAAGGCAAGACAAACATACAGTCAGACTGGTAATGGTACCACGGAAGTTGCAACTCTTCGCTGGCAGCTGAACATAAGGATGGAGTACTTATGGTGGATATCCTGAGTGATGTGATGTGGGTTCTTGAAACGCAACTCAACTCAACATTCCGATTAGTCCAGAAAGATATAAATCTAGCAGCACATACCAAACGTTACCAAATACATGCAAGTTGGTGGCTTTTTTTTTAGACATCTCATATCATCTAATTTCACATGTGTTAATTTTACATAGGCTAGCTTTTGATAGTATCCAAGTCTGGCACTGGTAGTACAGTGTTGGTAGAATTTTGATGTTTATAATCTGTTTTTTGGCGCTCACATTTATGTTTGAATATCCCAATAAAAGTATCAGGTGGTATATGAGTGCATAATTTTACAAGTAAATACCTCTTTTTTTTTACACGTCATGACGGAATATGAGACTCATACTGATTGACATCATAATTGAAACTATATAGTTAAGCAATTATCTATATGGGTCCGAATGTGAGAAGTATTGAATATCTTTTTATTGCTTTTATCAATAAAGTCTTTTACTTTTGCACGCTGGTATACTGAAAGTTCATTTCATAAGTGCCTGTACATGAGGTCGGCTCTGTGGCTAAGTCGATGCGAACGCTTCGCTTCGTAATGCCGGGATGCCAGGTTCGATCTCAGCTGCGGGCAATGCGCCTTGCGTTGGTTTCGACAGTGGTATCAAGAAAGCCGACCGTCCAGTAAGCAATGGCAAACTACTGGATGTAAATTGCCTAGAGAAACCACACAACAGCCAGGGGCTGTTAGGGTTGGTTCTGCAACGTCCTGTAAAGGATACGCAACTAACTTTTTAACTGTACATGAGAACTGAAGGTTAGGTTTCTATCAAAGATGGGAGCTAATACTTTATGTTAACCTACTCTTGTGTACTAAAGTGTTACTTATGTAGAGTTTAATGGCTGTGTATCAATTTAAATATTAAATAAAATCCCCGTGTGGGTTACGGGGCCTCACTGAGGAAAACAAGAATTGACGCACTGGCTTCTAACAAGCATGTCGTAAGAGTTGACTAAATGGGAACTTCCTTCGAAATTGGAGTGCATCCGCCTGTGATTCAAGGACCCAACAGTCTGCATACAAATAAGTTTGATCTGTAAAACAAGTATACACGTAACACTCAGATTCTTGAACCAGTCTAAAGTCGAGAGGTGGATGAACAACCAAAACTTTCCGCCCTAGTTTACAGCCGGCGAGCGCGAGAAGAATAAGAAGAAATAAAACAGCTGTGTCTTATTCTTAACATAGACTTTGCTTAGCTTTTACGAACTATTTTACCAACGGCTCTGGTATGTTACGAGTGAGCGTTGGTATAAATCTGTGAATAAATCCCAGGAAAATGAAAACATACGGTAAAGATAACAATGAAGAAAAATTAAGAAAGCAAGCAAGAAAAGAAAGAAAGAAATGAAGAAAAGGAAAGACAGTCAGGCAGGTAGACCGACAGACCGACCGACCAACAAATAAATAGATCAAAAGAAAAGAAAACAATAGAAAAAAAAGAAAAAACGAAAGAAAGAAAGAAAGAAAGAAAGAAAGAAAGAAAGAAAGAAAGAAAGAAAGAAAGAAAGAAAGAAAGAAAGAAAGAAAGAAAGAAAGAAAGAAAGAAAGAAAGAAAGAAGAAAGAAAGAAAGAAAAAGAGAAGAGAAGAAAGAAAGAGAGAAAAGAAAGAAAGAAAGAAAGAAAGAAAGAAAGAAAGAAAGAAAGAAAGAAAAAGAGAAAAAAAAAGAAAGAAAGAGAAGAAAGAAAGAAAGAAAGAAAGAGAAGAAAGAAAGAAAGAAAGAAAGAAAGAAAGAAAGAAAGAAAGAAAGAAAGAGAAGAAAGAAAGAAAGAAAGAAAGAAAAGAAAGAAAGAAGAAAGAAAGAAGAAAGAAAGAAAGAAAGAAAGAAAGAAAGAAAGAAAGAAAGAAAGAACGAAAGACAGAAAGACAGAAAGACAGAAAGAAAGAAAGAAAAGACAGAAAGAAAGAAAGAAAGAAAGAAAGAAAGAAAGAAAGAAAGAAAGAAAGAAAGAAAGAAAGAAAGAAAGAAGAGAAGAAAGAAAAAAGAAAGAAAGAAAGAAAGAAAGAAAGAAAGAAAAAGAAAGAAAGAAAGAAAGAAAGAAAGAAAGAAAGAAAGAAAGAAAGAAAGAAAGAAAGAAAGAAAAAGAAAGAAAGAAAGAAAGAAAGAAAGAAAGAAAGAAAGAAAGAAAGAAAGAAAGAAAGAAAGAAAAGAAGAAAGAAAGAAAGAAAGAAAGAAAGAAAGAAAGAAAGAAGAAAGAAAGAAAGAAAGAAAGAAAGAAAGAAAGAAAGAAAGAAAGAAAGAAAGAAAGAAAGAAAGAAAGAAAGAAAGAAAGAAAGAAAGAAAGAAAGAAAGAAAGAAAGAAAGAAAGAAAGAAAGAAAGAAAGAAAGAAAGAAAGAAAGAAAGAAAGAAAGAAAGAAAGAAAGAAAGAAAGAAACATCAACTTACATTTATTGTTAACGAATTCCGCGTACTCCTCATGAGTGACATTCTCCCCTAGCTCCAGCGCCCAGTTTTTGATGCACTTCTGCAGCAGAGCACCAGAGTACAGCTGCATGCCCACCAGGGCGAAGATGGACAGGACGAACACAGTGAGGATCATGACGTCACGCAGACGTTTCACTGCCATCAGCAGAGCACTTACGATGGTTTTCAAACCTGCAGTGGAACGCCATTTGAGGGATATTGGTCATGGGTGAAGCTGTGCTATATAAAGGAAGCACAATTGTGAGAGAAGAGAGAAGAAGAAACAGGAGGATGCGGATAAGAAAAAGAAGAAGTCATAGTCCTAGTGGTGATGATAGTGGTTGTGGTGGTCGTAGTGGCAGCAGCATCTGTAGTAGTAGTGGCAGTAGTATCATCAGCAGCAGTAGTAGTAGAAATAGAAGTAGTAGTAGCAGGGCAGTAGTAGTAGTTGTTGCTGTAGTAGTTGTTGCTGTAGTTGTTGTTTTTGTTGTAGCAATAGCAGCAGCAGTAGCAATATTAGTGGTAGTAGTGGTGGTGGTGGCAGATGTAGTAGCAGCAGTGGCAGTAGTAGCAGTAGTAATAGTGGCAGTAGTAGTAGCAGCAACGCCAGTAGCAGTAGTGGCAGTAGTAGCAGCAGCAGTAGTAGTAGTGGCAGTAGTAGCAGCAGCAGTAGCAATAGTAGTAGTGGCAGAAGTAACAGCAACGCCAGTAGCAGTAGTGGCAGTAGTAGTAGCAGCAACGCCAGTAGCAGTAGTGGCAGTAGTAGCAGCAGCAGTAGTAGTAGTGGCAGTAGTAGCAGCAGCAGTAGCAATAGTAGTAGTGGCAGAAGTAACAGCAACGCCAGTAGCAGTAGTGGCAGTAGTAGTAGCAGCAACGCCAGTAGCAGTAGTGGCAGTAGTAGCAGCAACGCCAGTAGCAATAGTAGTAGTGGCAGTAGTAGTAGCAGCAACGCCAGTAGCAGTAGTAGCAGTAGTAGTAGCAGCAACTCCAGTAGCAGTAGTGGCAGTAGTAGCATCAGCAACGCCAGTAGCAGTAGTTGCAGTAGTAGCAGCAGCAGTAGCAATAGTAGTAGTGGCAGAAGTAACAGCAACGCCAGTAGCAGTAGTGGCGGTAGTAGTAGCAGCAACGCCAGTAGCAGTAGTGGCAGTAGTAGCAGCAGCAGTAGTAGTAGTGGCAGTAGTAGCAGCAGCAGTAGCAATAGTAGTAGTGGCAGAAGTAACAGCAACGCCAGTAGCAGTAGTGGCAGTAGTATTAGCAGCAACGCCAGTAGCAGTAGTGGCAGTAGTAGCAGCAGCAGTAGCAATAGTAGTAGTGGCAGTAGTAGTAGCAGCAACGCCAGTAGCAGTAGTGGCAGTAGTAGTAGCAGCAACTCCAGTAGCAGTAGTGGCAGTAGTAGCATCAGCAACGCCAGTAGCAGTAGTGGCAGTAGTAGCAGCAGCAGTAGCAATAGTAGTAGTGGCAGAAGTAACAGCAGCGGCAGTAGTAGTAGTGGCAGTAGTAGTAGTGGCAGTAACAGCAACAGCGGCAGTAGTTGTAGAAGTATGTAGTAATGGTGGTGGTGGTTTCGGGGTAGAAATAGTGGAAATAGCAGAAGTAGTGTAGTAGCAGTTGAGGTCTCTTATGGCTGCACTTTTCATTCTGGTTTTTGAAGTAACCATAAGGTTCTACTTTCTGTGTCAGTAGGTTTCTAATTGTATTTCACATTTCTGAGGCTCAGCTTCCTTCACTTCCCATTGGGTTATACGATCTCAACCAACTTAGACAAAACTGCCTTAACTGTGTTGCTATCGCCTGCAGCCCAGTCCTTGCCCTCAATTTTTTTTTCTCTGATTCTCCCCTCCGCGTGTGAAGAGCTCTTTGCAAAATGTTTGCTATGTGAATCCGAGAAGAAAGAATTGCCAGATAAACAATAAAAGTTTTCTCCAAAAGGTTAAAGTCCAGCAGGGTTTTATCCCACATTTCGTGGTCTCTCTACGCAGAACGGCTAGCATGAACTCTGTAGCTCCTGGGACGATCCCTGGGATCTTCGTAAAAACTGCACTAGTGAACTGAACGGAGCAGCCGTAAAACGAGTGCACGACCTTCACAGCAACCCAGTCACCAAACTACAATGAACTCAGCTTTCAAGAGTTAAATATGTATTGGCTTACATACATTCGTGTGTGGGTTCCAAAGTCCCACCGAGGGGAGAGGAGGGGGAATGGACCAATTGTTCTTTCAAAATGCGTGATGAAAAAAAAAAGTGAATAAATAGACTTAAGTTAAATGTGCTGGGCGAAAGAAGATATCGCTGTCTAGCAGTAGACAACAAAACAACAGGTCAACTACTCCATTAAAGGACGAATGAAGACGATGAACCACAAACCTGGAATGACCGATATCGTCTTCAGCGCTCGCAACACCCGGAACGTTCTCAGCCCAGACAGGTTTCCAAAGAATTTAGACGTCTTTGTGAGGTACCTGGGAATGAATGAATGAATGAATTTTTACCCCACTAGGACATCACGCAAGCCGATGACACAAAGTGCCACCATGTGGGTGAGGATCACCGTGGAGAGGTCCCAGAAATCGCGTTCAGACAATTGGCCATATTTATGGCCTGCCTATATTGCGGCCCCTGGCAAAAACCAGAGTGGGGCTTCAAATAACAAAAAATTACGTCCTGAAAAAGACGTATTGTATCATAACACCTACAGTAGAGGTACCTGGGAAAACAAAATACAGTTCATGACAGATACTTTCTTCTTGCAGCCGGATCATTGGTAACTGTGACAGATACTTTCTTCTTGCAGCCGGATCAGTGGTAACTGTGACAGATACTTTATTCTTGCAGCCAGATCAGTGGTAACTGTGACAGATATTTTTTTTCTGCAGCCGGATCAGTGGTAACTGTGACAGATACTTTTTTTCTGCAGCCGGATCATTGGTAACTGTGACAGATACTTTCTTCTTGCAGCCGGATCAGTGGTAACTGTGACAGATACTTTCTTTCTGCAGCCGGATCATTGGTAACTGTGACAGATACTTTCTTCTTGCAGCCGGATCAGTGGTAACTGTGACAGATACTTTTTTTCTGCAGCCGGATCAGTGGTAACTGTGACAGATACTTTTTTTCTGCAGCCGGATCAGTGGTAACTGTGACAGATATTTTTTTTCTGCAGCCGGATCAGTGGTAACTGTGACAGATACTTTCTTCTTGCAGCCGGATCATTGGTAACTGTTACAGATACTTTCTTCTTGCAGCCGGATCAGTGGTAACTGACAGATACTTTCTTCTTGCAGCCGGATCATTGGTAACTGTGACAGATACTTTCTTCTTGCAGCCGGATCATTGGTAACTGTGACAGATACTTTTTTTCTGCAGCCGGATCAGTGGTAACTGTGACAGATACTTTTTTTTTTGCAGCTGGATCAGTGGTAACTGTGACATATACTTTTTTTCTGCACCCGGATCAGTGGTAACTGTGACAGATACTTTTTTTTCTGCAGCCGGATCAGTGGTAACTGTGACAGATACCTTCTTCTTGCAGCCGGATCAGTGGTAACTGCGACAGATACTTTCTTCTTACAGCCGGATCAGTGGTAACTGCGACAGATACTTTCTTCTTACAGCCGGATCAGTGGTAACTGCGACAGATACTTTCTTCTTACAGCCGGATCAATGGTAACTGTGACAGATACTTTCTTCTTACAGCCGGATCAGTGGTAAAGTGTTTAAATAATCTGGTTTGCTCCGTGAAGGTCATGAGATCATTTGACGGATGCTTTGTTGCGAACACGAGTGCAGTTTTCCCAACGAACCCTAGGAGTCGTCGCTGAAGTTATGGAGTTTGTGCGTTGAACGACGCTATATGCAGGCGGCTGGTGTTGAGAGAGACTGCGTCATACTGGACACACCCGGCACGATAAAGTTGACCCTATCGACTTCAACTTTATTTTAATTACTTTGTTTTAAAAAAAAAATTCTCAACGTTGTTCAGATAATCTAGAATGCACTAACTAAGTGCCCCTAGATTCCTTAATCCTCGACCTTAAGGGACGACCCCCTCCCCTTTTCCCGGTCTACATGGCCCTTAAAAAGTGGTACAAACAGCTTAGTTTGTGTTTTCAGTTTATCACCTGGGCTGATGTTTTATCTGAGCTAATGTACAGTGAATTACTTGAAATATGTGGGGGAAATTCTATCCTTCTAACTCTTATCTCGGATAATGGGAATGTGCTGTGCTGTGCCGAGGTGAAACAGATGTAGATCCAGTACCAAGCGAGCACACCTCACTGATTTTTGAGCGCGAAGGAGGGAAAACCTCTACATATCTGTTTCCGTGGACATCCCTCTGTGGGTTCCTGCAGTGCGATCGGGGTGAGGTGGAGAATAGACTCTCTGCTCAAGTTATTTTGTAAAAGGCAACGAGTCTGGGGTTCACTGACACTGGATATGTTGGACCAAAAAGGCGCAGATATCACAACCTAGCTGTAAACCACAAAACAACATGCCAGCTGCCCTTGTGAGGGCGAGAGTTGATGAGGAAGAATTTCCATTGAGCTGGTATCTTGGTGTTTTGCCGAAAGAAAGCTGTCAATGACAACGTAATTCTTAAAGACGCCATCCATACTGGTAGTAATAGTGGCGGTAGTAGTGGTAGCACCAGCAGCAGTAGTAGCAGCAGCAGTAGCAGTAGTAATAGTGGCAGTAGTAGCAGCAGCAACAGCAGCAGCAGTAGCAGTAGTAATAGTGGCAGTAGTAGTAGCAGCAACAGCAGCAGCAGTAGCAGTAGTAATAGTGGCAGTAGTAGTAGTAGCACCAGCAGCAGCAGTAACAGTAGCAATAGTGGCAGTAGTAGTAGTAGCACCAGTAGCAGTAGTAATAGTGGCAGTAGTAGTAGTAGTAGCACCAGCAGTAACTGCAGCGGCAGCAGTGGCAGTAGTAGTAGTGGCAGTAATAGCAGCAGCGGCAGCAGTGGCAGTAGTAGTAGTGGCAGTAATAGCAGCAGCGGCTGTAGTAGTAGAAAAAGTAGTAATAATGGTAGTTGTGGTTTGGGATGGAAATATGGAAATAGCAACAACAGTGTAGGAGAAGCTTGCTAATATACTTTTCGTTAGGTTTTATATCTTTTCTTGACATCCATACTGGTCACTTAGAGGGTCTAAACTCTATATTAAAAACCAAGTCTCACAGAAGATCACAAATAATACAAGCACAAAAAAAAAAAAAAAAAATGGCAACAAAACAACAACAACAGCAACAGAAACATAACTCTGGAAACAATGATATGCTGAAAAGGTAGCTTACGCTATAGAAATGACGATGAAGTCCAACCAGTTCCAGGGGTCCCGTAAATAAGTGAACGGCGTCAGGATAAAACCTCGGCTCAAGACCTTCAAAGTTGCCTCCAGTGTGTAGACACCCAGGAAAATGTCTCTGTGAACAGAAAACCCAGTTTTAGTTACAATTCAAGCTAATCAGACCACATAATCAAAATACACAAGCTGCTATCTTAATTCACGAGGGGAAACATACACACAACAAGAGATAATCCCACTCAGCACAAAAAAACATCTCGTACCAAGCAGATTCATTTTAACCCCATGCTACAAGTGCCAGACGTGGTCACTCACAATAGACCAGAAAAAGCAATTAGTTACAACGGAAATGAGATATATGAGAAGGGCTGTAGGAATAGCCAGAAGAGGTAAAATCATGAATTAGGTGATAAGAGAACAAATCGGCACAGAACCTAGTCTAAATTACATACAAAACAGCGGATCAAAGGGTTTGCCCATTTGGAAGAGAATGCCTTGTGACGTCATACCGTACAAGATACACACCAAAAAAAGGAGACAGACGAAGAACAAAGTCCGGCCTGCTAGCTCACTTGGTTAAACCAGCTGTCAGCGACCAGGTGACAAACTCCATGTGGTCCGAGTTCACGCTCGGGGGAAAGCAGAAAAGACACATATTTCCCAGATTTGCGGTATCTATCATAGAATCAAGGCCGAAGGGTTGGGATATCCATAGTACCGAGCCAAAGGGTTATCTACTTACGATTTCTGGAAAATGAAGCGCAAAAGGTAGACCCAGGACAAGAAGGAAAGGTAACACCAAAGAAACTACAACAGCAGGATGTGTACACGGTTGAGATGGCCAGAAGAGAAAAAAGCAGAACCTATTATCTCGCTTCACACCTGAAGCCGTAAAAACGAAAGCAAAGACAAAGAAGACACACACACACACACACACACACACACACACATCCATACATATACACACACACACACACACACACATATATACGTATTCATGCTATGTGCAATATGAGCAGCTCCACGGGGTGGGAAAAGTTTGACACGGCAAAATTATAAGTGCTGCAAAAACAATTTCATTATCTTTACTGCTTTTATCATTATGAAAGTTTAATTTTGTATTGCGCTGCATAGCTCTATTAGCACACCAACTTGCATATCAGTTTCATTGTGTGTACTAGGTAGTTTAAATGCGTCATTTAGTTATAAAACCCCAGTAATAATTCCACAACTGATTGCTAGTAGTCTATGAACGAACAGTGATTCTGAAGTTTAGCTGAGGGAAATGGGCTCCAAAATAAATAATAGAAATGACTTCACTGAGGCGTCATAAAACCGCGCGCGTGTGTGTGTAGAGAGAGAGAGAGAGAGAGAGAGAGAGAGAGAGAGAGAGAGAGAGAGAGAGAGAATGGGGAGGACATGGGGAGAGCTACATGTGATAGCGAAACTAGAAATACTTGGCGTGTGATGGCTGAGGGCCTTTGCTCCATGGGAGCAGGAAGGGGTGGGAGGGGGGAGGGGGTAGAAGGCAAAAGACGAAGCACCATATTTCGGATACCCTAATAGCGTGAAAACCGTCGCATGCTTCATTATTCACTGATTAATACCCTACAACTTGAAGCATCAGAAAACACATATGTGTTTTACTAACATTTGACATGAACAAAGTAAGCAAAGTTATTTAACCACACGAAAGAAGGCGTTAAAATGTGAATAGACGCTAAACATTGGCTGTATTAGAAGTCGTTGGGAGTAAGCATATTTTGGATCTTTTCTCCGCGAAATGTTGGTGTGTCGGGAAACGATAGACAGGCAGACTGCCTGATTCTATACTTCTTGATGGCAAATTTATGCATGGCGAAGTAGATGGCGGCAAAAATCTTTGGGTGCAAGTTAACAATGGGGAAGTGGACTGGACAAAATTATGCAGCGGGGAGTGACCAGAGGATTTGACTGACATTTAACACACCAAGATAAGGCAAGACGGACGGACACTTGATAAGACTGCTACTAGACAGTCGCTTGGCTGAACGCGCTTTACGAAAAAAAAATGGTCACGTTCAACCAGCATCCCAAAGGGGGGGATCTTTAGGTTATAATTATGACAAGATTAGGTGTGCCATATAACATGGCACAGCGTTGCCCGCAGCCAAGTAGCCATGAAAAGAACTCTTTCAGTGTTGACGCGATCACAGAGACTCAAATACTGTCCAAACCGGCAACGAAGTCGAAGTCGCTCACCGGCCAGCTAATGGACGACCATGTCGCTGATGTACGTGACGATTATTACTGAACGATCAGTACTGGAACTAAGCGCTAGCTGTTGGGGACGGCAACATTCACGGGAATCTCCCAGGGCTGTGAATATCGGCCGTGAGCTTAAATCAACTCAATATTGACTGCATAAACATGGTTTCCATGGCTTCCAGCCAGAACAGCTAAAAGATATCAAAGATTGCAGCAGTATTTGGTGTAATGCAGTGTAAGGCAGATTAGAATCTCTGTTGATGTATATAATTTAACACACATGTGTAGAAATGTTACTCATCACATGAAAATGAATATAGTTTCCTAAGAGTAGTGAGGGAAAAGAGTAGGGCTATACACAAAGCAGAAAGTACTAAATACAATCCATACTTATGTAATAATATTATGCAGTGACAATAAGCGAACATACTGAGAAACGTCTAATGGCAACAAAAAAGTAATTCTGGAACAGTAAGTAAAAAAAAAAAAAAAACATTCCCCCGCCTTCTGGCTATTGGGTATATTCGGCTGTGACCTATATTTTATTGACCAATCGGCAGGCACTTGGAGGCTGATGTCAGCATCAAGCCAATCACCTTTAAATTCCATGACTTTAGCTGGTACCCATTTAAGGTAAAGTTCCTTCTTGAACTGCAGCCACAACCTTGCGATCCGCAGGCAAGCGTCTAGCCTCTACACCACGACGGCTCCCTAAATATATCACATTAAAGAAAAGAACACACCCTTCTTACGCTACAGGCCCACCGGGCACACCTTTACTAGACTCCCATTTCATTGACCATTGATTGATTGGGTAGTGTGGTCAAAATCTCAACGGCTACCTTTACTTCCCATGATATTGCTAGGTATCCATTTGTGTGTGGGTCAAGTATGTCTATCTGGTATTAGAAATAAAGAGCAAAATTGGCAAATTTCACACAATGAACCGGTACAACTCGTGAAAGATTGCAACATTAAAATAACGAACATTACAAAACTCACTTTGCAAACATTATAAAATTTGTGTAAAAGACATTACCAAACTTACACTTGAAGCATTACAAAACGCGAATAAGAGACATTACAAAACTTGCATGCGATACAGTAGAAAACTTGTATAACAAACATTATAAAACTCGAATGGGAAACATTATAAAACTCGTATAACAAACAAACAGCGTGAGAAACATCACAAAACTCGTGTAACAAAAAATTACAGAACTCTTATGAATGGCAAATATTTAATCATAACAAACTTGAACAAAAACTTATAATCAAAGATAAGACAGATTCACACAAAATAAAAAACTAAAGTAAAACTCCCATTCCACATGGGAAAAACTCACAATATACGTTGCTAAAGTCATACAACAATAATACAAGTAGCGAATCTACAATCACAATTTGGCGAAGCTCTCACAGCCAATGTGGCAAATGAAACTTACATGGACAGATAAAACGTAATAATAAACACAAGCATGGTATATAGAGTGGTTACATTAAAATAAAAGGATAAATATACACAATAAATAGAAATCATGAAATAATAAAGGCAGGAATATGAAAAAGCAGACATCATATAAGACTAAAGGCAGACTTGCATGAAAAATGGAACTAATGCAATCATGGCGCAATAAAAAAATACACCACTAAAAGGAAATGTACCTGATACATAAATCAAACAACAATTAAAGCATCTGTGCACACTGAACTGGTGCAATCATAATTGAATCATAAATAAACAGATGTGAGAAGGTTCTTCTTTTTCATTTACCTTGTGGTTAAAAATGTAAACATGCAAGATCAATAAAATGGATGCAATCATAAAGGCAGATGTAAACGGTGAATGGAACCATGCAACTAAAAAAGCAGATATGAACGATAAATGGAAACCATGCAACCATAAAGGCAGACATAAACGATAAATAGAAATCATACAATCAAAAACGTAGGGATGCACACTAGTAATGCATGGAAGTACAATATAAGTCAGATTGTAAACCACTTACTCCACATATTCTGGAGGGGTCCATGTGGTCGCCATGAAGACGCAGTTCGTCAAGATGGTCACCATTACACACAGACTGAACCATGTGGGAAAAGTTAAGGATAATAGCTGGGACATTGTCAAAGTCCGCAATCAGACAATACGTCAAGATCTTGATACCCAGCCCTTACTAACCCGAGTAGATCAGTCACAGTTACGATGGTTTGGACATGTATGCAGAATGGGAGAGAATCGGCCACCATGGCAAGCATGGGAGGCTAAGAACCAGGGAACCAGACCTCCGGGACGACCCAGGGTGCGCTGGGAAGACAACATCCGACAGTCCCTAACTGACAGAGGACTGGAATGGAACAAAGCCAGAAAGAGAACTGCTGATAGAGACGTCTGGCGGTCTCTCTGTCAAACCTCTACACCCCAAGGTAGAAGAGGAGCGACTAAGTAAGTAAGCAAGTAAGACATTGATTGTTCGATTACTTTCTGAGCAACGGTACCGTCAGTATGGGGACTTTTCGTTAGCTACTGAAATGGAGGTCAGAGCACATATGGGAAAGTTTCGAGTGCAGTGATGTCAATTCTGTATTCATTCATTGATTCATTGATTCGACCAGTTATGTCTAAGGGAATCACAGTGCTGCTGTAATAAAGAAACATACTTTGGAGCATTTTATTCTTGTTTAGAATGAATAAATGAATGGATTCGTTGATTTTTTTTTTATATTACTAATTCAATATACAAGAATAAAGTGTGCCTCCTTATTGGAGGCTGAAGCGTGTGGCCAACACCCCAACTTTCACAAAACTTTACTTCATCTCGAAACAGATGTCTAAGTCTCAATTTTAGATTGATTCACACAGATTGAGAGGTAAAAACTGTATATACTGAATGGTCGTAGACACAAGGCAGACCAAGAAGACGATGGGGGCGATAATTTTCTGAGAGACCTGAAAACACTTGGTGTCACCAACTTTAAAGAGAAGGCCAACTAGAGAGATGAATGGAGGCGGGTGATATATGCAGCAGTGAACCTAAAAGGTGGGAAATGCGGAAGAAGAAGAATAAGAGGAAGAAAAAAAGTGTGCCTCTCCACAAGCAGAAGCGAATAAAGTTGGGACTGAAATAAATTCATTAACAGTTGACATAATAACTTCGTTGTGACTGTAAAGGGCTTAGCAAACAGCCGGAAACAAACTCGGGCTAACATCAGGATATAATGAAACATTAGAAATATTATTTTGATGGAAGAGATGGAACCAAAAATAACGAACACTAAGGCTATGAAACAGGACGTATACAATGTGGCAGAAATGTTTGAGGCAGTGATTTTCAACTTGTTTTCCCTCATGTGGGTAAGTAGGGGCTTTGCCGGGGATGGGGGAAGGGGGGGGGGAATCGTCACGTTCAACCAACATCCCTGAAGGGGGTGCTTTAGGTTATAATTGTGACTAGGTTATGTGCGCCATATAAAATAGCTTAGCCTTGCACGCCGCCTAGAGCAGTGTTGATGCGATCGAAGGAGACAGACCCAAATACTGTCCCTACTGGCGAAGAAAGTCGTCTACCGGCGAGCCAATGGGCGACCAGGTCACTGAGGTGTGATCCCGAACTTAATCTATAATTAAAAAAGAACATGTTATTCTTTTAATTACATTTCAACATTTGACCTACAAACTGGTCATGAACAAACTGCCCATGAATCCCATAACGTATTTGCCTTTTTCGATTTATAAATTGTTTTCAAAATATGTTATTTAAAATTATAGTGACAAAAATAATAAATGTTTACAGAGTATTACAAGTACAAAATGCACCCAGTTACACAATTGCTTCAGGTCTTCTTTAAAACTTTCTTGTACCACCATGTCATACCATGAGAAAAGGCTGTCAAGAATCTTCTCGCATTGTCTTTCACTGTCTCCTTTTCCATAGATCTTTCCAGTAGTCACAACGCATCCCAGTTTCTCCGTTCTCGTAATATGACACCCCCCCCCCCCCCCCTCCCACAATCCTCACTAAAACGATGGCTGTATATTTCTTAGATTAGTGATAAGTTGAACTTGAGCAATAGTGCCAATAGCATCTCTCAAAACATCCGAGTTACTTTTTGTGTATGTCTGGCTGTCTAAGGAATTATAAGTATTTTTCCCTAAAACCACATCACCAACGTCTAAAAAGAATGTATGGTTTGTCTTGTTTATTATCTAACATCCCTAAAAATTCCCTTGGGTAAAAATTGCTAATACTGCACGCACTTATGTTATTCTGGCGTGGTTACAATGATTGATGAGTCAACAATCGTTGAATGTAAAGGATATGGATGTACCAGGATGTAGATGGCCACACGGCGAATGGGGTTGAACGGGGACAGCAAGGAAGATGGCGTTGGTGGCGCTGAACCGGAAGAGGATCTTGTCTTTGTTCAAAACGACGAAGGTCTGGTAAGAGAAAGCGAACAAATACATGTTGATAAATCATGAAAACAATGATAAGTATGTAAAGTCAGGGACTTTTTTTCATACTTTCAGGCGTATTGGGCATTCAAGACTAGACGTATATATTTTAAAGATTGTACTCGGTGGTTGATGTGGTCAACATCCTGCCGGCTGCCTTTACTTCCCAGGACTACAAATGGTACCCGTTTAAGGCTGGGTCGACCTAACGACCAAGGCCATTTTAAAAAAAAGTCCGACTTTCTCAGATCCGGAACCCATGACCTTCCGATCGGCAGGCGAGCGTTTAGCCGCTACGTCACGGCAGCTCCCCCCAAAAACAGCCATGCTAGCAAATAATTATGGATCCATGCAGGCGCCCCGACACACAGAAAATATTGGTCTAAGCAGAAATAGGAAAGGGTATTAAGCTCAGACTCTTAGGATCCCGCCCCCCCCCCCCTCTCCCACATTCCCCAAAAATAGTCTTGTGTAAGAGACCTAAAACCTTTGTGTAGCTTCTTTATTAAAACTACTGGAGGAAAAGTGGGGAGGGGCCAATAATCTCTTCTCGACCCCCTCCCCCCCCCCCCCCCCCCACTTCCCCTCCCTCCATCCACTTGTGATTAATATTGTGTGGTTGTTCCGTCGCAAGCCAATTATTAGTTAGAGAAATAACCTAGACCAGAAGCGACATCTGTTTTGTAATGAAAATATTGAAGGCATTTTCTCCGTCTTTAGTGCATGCTCCCAGATACTGCTACAGCTGGTAATAACAGTGCAGTGCAGTGCAATGACTGGTTTAGCTGGCCCACTGTGTGCCAGACGTGCACCCTAATCAACTCAGAACTCAGGTACATATGTACTGTATCACTCATTTACTCGATCGATAACCAATCAGCAAATCAATCAGAATTAATCAATTGTTCAGTTAACTAATTACTTCGTTCCACACGCAGTTTCCATAAATTGACGAGATAAATAAAGTGATGAGGTAAACATAAATTGACGAGATAAATAAAGTGATGAGGTAAACATAAATTGACGAGATAAATAAAGTGATGAGGTAAACATAATTGATAAATAAAGTGATGAGGTAAACATAAATTGACGAGATAAATAAAGTGATGAGGTAAACATAAATTGACGAGATAAATAAAGTGATGAGGTAAACATAAATTGACGAGATAAATAAAGTGATGAGGTAAACATAAATTGACCTTGTTTTTTAAGCTCTGTCGTCTTTTTTGTTGAGTTTCATAGTCACAGTTTATGTTGTATTCGGTATTCTGTTGATACAGACTTTGGTCGAAACGTTTGGTTGTATTTGTTGCGTCTTTTCCATTTCCTCTGTCGTCGCATGTTTATGATGTATTTAGCAGTTTAGTAGCACTATTACAAGATAATTCCCACCATAATTAACCAATTGCATCGCTGACTTTAGTGTGTTGTATGGTGAGGTCCGAGTCTTTTTTACGAAGGCCAGCTGTGTTCTCTATTGTGTCTCGAACACGCCACATGTGAGCACACAATAAACTGACATATTTTGGCCACAGTAAAAGACAAAACACTGTTTATAAATATACTAGATGGAAAGATAGAGGGCAAGAGAGCAAGAGGTAGACAAAGACACAAGTGGAAAGGATATAGGCCTTTAAAAAAAACTAGGTAAATTTTACACTAGGTTCCCCATCTGCACACAGCTAAACACTAGCCCACCTCTGATTAAACGACCTACTGACCACCTCACTTCTGATAGGTCGGCCTCGAGCGATCCGACTTTCAGACAAGGTCACGGGGATATTCCGCACTCGCGCTCATACCGCGTGTTGTATACTTCACCATTCCAGAGCTTTTAACACTTCTAAAACACTTAGATACTGGGTCTAACACACAACCCCCGTAGAGAGTGACAAAACCTATGTCACAGGCCATCTCTTTCTAGAAATAAAAATGTAAATACCAGAAAACAACAGACTGCGAAACTCATAACCTCTACCTTGTTAGACTAGTCCAACCAACTTATCAATGGAGTTGACCTATAACCGGTGATGTACATATGGGGAGAACATCATATAAATAACAAACAACTATACTGTTGGGAAAGGTAGAGGGCAAGAGGTAGACAACGATACAGAGATGGACGAACAGCATGAACGAAGAGAGTGTACAAGCTGGACAAGACACAGAGCTTGTTGGAAATCCACTGCAGCGGACGTTCACTGCAGAGACGACATCTGTTTAATTAAATTAATCAATTACACAGATAAATTGAAAATGTAAAATGGACGTGCACGCAACACTCAAGTCCTGGAACACGGCCAAACTCCGGAAGTGGACGAACACCAGGGTTTTCCCCCGAAGCTACATACGGTTTATCAGAAAAAGGAGAGATGTTTACAGATCATCATTATGTAGCAGGTCTTGTGCAGAACGTCGCTCTCATGATGGTTTCCCTGAAAGAAACTCAGTCTCTCGCCAGTTCTCCCCCCTCATGTACTTTCATACTCAAGTAGTAAATTATATCCTTTGCCCATCTTGGTGTCGGTCAGCCCCTGACCCTCCTTCCTGGTACCATGCATTCTGTTATAATTTTTTCCAATCCGTCGTGGCGCTTGATATGACCAAAATATTTCAACTTGCGAGACACGATGCTATTTACAGATACTACAGTAAAATCTCGTCGGCACAAATAATGAAAAAAAAAAATAATGTTCATGTTAAAATATTGGTGATGACTAAGTATTAAATAATGTGTTATGCATAATACATCTTTGCTGCCACCAATATTTCTTTCACGTTAATAGAGTGTTCGTCTTATGCCAATTCGTGATATTTGGTTTTGATTTTACTCTAATTCCTTTTCTCCTGACTTTACAGGAATATGTTCCTCTGGCAAAGTGACCCTGGCTGACGCTGAGGTACGCAGCCATGTAGACAAGAAACCTACTGGGGAGATAACCACATTATATTAGGTAAGTAAAGCAAAGGACCCTTTTCAGTGGCAACAATAAGAATAACATCTACATAAGGTTTGTTATACACCAAATCATCAATGCTATTGTAATTGTTACCTTAGTATGCACCTGACGAGATACAGCGAAATACGCAATGCAGTAAATTGTGCAATCTATTGTTTGTGTCTTCTGTGTTCAAATTTACAAAGGGGGAAAAAATTGTTTTGAAAAAATTATTTGAAAAATAACTATAGATACTAAACCTCTCAGGTACAACTTGGATAATTCCCAAGGTCACATAACATTATATCATTGGCGTACAGTTCAAATGAGTACCAAACCACTTATTTAATTAACGTATCCTACCGCATAGACATTAATTACTCAATGCACACACCACTAAGTGTTGCTTCATGTATGCACAGTTTAATGACTTTAATTAACACTGAAATAATTAAGACATTATCTGGACACATTACTTTATCCTAATGTCAAAAATCTAAAAATATCTAGAGCTTTAATTACAGGAATTTTGTAGAGGTCTGAACGAGAACGATTAATGTAAATAACGTGGACATAAATAATACACTGGACAATTTATTGCCTGGTATAAATCACTGTATCTCGTCAGGTGTATTACTACAGAGTTACATCAACATGTTATCTAGTGCCAAAAAAAAAAAAAAAACACCTTTCACTGGAATCCACAAATCGTAATACCTCTCCATCGGAAATTCAGAATAAACTACCTGACGACCATTTCAAATTTACCACACATTCTTTTTGTCTGCACAAAACCAGATAATACATTTTGGAATGTTTTGTACGTGTCTGCATTATTTTAAATTTTAAATTGGAAAAACTGTTTAAGTTGATTAATCATAAATCAACTAATTATTCGATCATCAATAATTCATGGATGCTACATCAATGAATCATTCAATCAAACGATCGCACTTCTTTCCTACCTTTTGGTTGTGATAGTATTCATCCAGGTCTTCCAAAGGCTTCCCGGTGTACTCCCGCGGATATTCCTCGAGCGATGGAGGCAGCTTCCGGCCAGCCTCCAGCTTTGGGTTGGGCTTGAGGTTCTCCTCATGATGGCTGGCTTCATCACCATCTGCGTCATCATCGTCACCAGACTCAGGCTGGTTTTGCTGCGCATGCTGTCAGAGATAAACGGTAGACCAGAAGGAGATAATTACGTAATCCGTCAGCATTCTTTGAAAATATCGCAAGCTGGATAACGGATTTGTAATAAGTAAGAATGACAAAGGATTCATCAGAACGACAGAGATGCGATGTATCTGATAAAAAGACGAAATTGGGAAAATAATATGAATGACGGCAACCCTTATACATACGTTAGACGTATCTCACAGTTGGATATGGGATTTGTAATAAGTAAGAATTAGGAAGAGGAAAAACATCGATATAATACTCGTTAATCATCAGGGAGAAATGGCTCATAAACAGCGTCCTGTCCCGAAAGTTGAAGTATTTTGGCCACATCAAACGTCATAGTGGCTTGGAAAGGACAGGGATGATGGGTGCACTTTGTGGAGGTTAGGTAGGGGTTGAACTTCACGAAGATGTATACAGGACATTTAAGATGCATTGGCATTGGAAGCACATGGGGCCGGAGAGCTGTCTAGAGAAAGGGATACTTTTAGGCGTGCCGAGAAGAGAGCCACGTTCTGTAAAGGACTTGCTGATTGATGATGAATAAGTAAGTAAGGCGAAAGACTGCAACATAACAACTGAGATGACATCTTAGGATATATGCTGGAGTAACAATGAGATACAGAATATAAAATGAAGAAATAAACAGATAACTAGGAGTGAAATCAGTTATATAGTTTAGAAAAGAACAACAGATGAAACGATTAGGCTGCCTGAAGAGAAAAGTGTGTTACCAGCTGCCACACAGAGCTATGTAAAACGTTATATAAGTGACATAGAGAAAATATGTAAATTAAGGTACAGCAACGTCTAAAAACAGTCTTAGATCGGTGAAGACCAACTTAAACAGTTCATTAGGAAAAAAAAAAACACACACAGAAGATCAATCCACCTACTTTCAACACTTCGCTAAGATAAATAGGGGATGAATACAAGACAAGAAGAAGTAGAAGAAGAAGAAGACGAAGACAAAGAAGAAGATGGTGATGATGAACAATACGTAAAGATGGGTTACCATCGAATAACGATGTACCTTGCAGAGATTGTATATTCTCCATGTATATTCTCCATGTATATTCTCTAATAGTTTCGGAGCCTAATTTGAATGGTTTTCTGAAACCCGAGCTTAGCCGTAGTCAATTTTTCAATAAACTGAAGCGAAATACAGTATTGTTAACATGAGAGACAGATGATGGGGACTTAGAGGAGAAAGTGAGACAGAGGGAGTGACAGAGGCAGAGAGGAAGAGAGACGAATAGAAATGCTACATACTGAGCGAGAAACAGAAGAGAAAAGAAAGAGAGAGAGAATCGGGAAGAAGAGAGAGAGAGAGTCTAAAGGACAGAGAGAGAGAGAGAGAGAGAGAGAGAATTAAAGAGATAGACAGGAAGACATTAATACAGACGGAGCGAGAAAGAGAAGAGAAGAACGAGAGAGAAAGAGATAGATAGAAAGGGATAAGGAGAGAGAGAGAGAAGAAGGGAGACAGAAAAAAATGATACAAATGACTTACTTTCGCCGCTTCCTCCTCCGCAATGCGACGTTCGATGTTAAATAACGATTCCCTGGTGAATGGGCGGAATGGCGTCCATTCTACAAAGTTGTCGTCCATTGTACTTGGTTACAAGTTTCCTGAAAACATTCATAGATCACCATTTAAACTATTCGACATAGTTCCTTAACATGGCGTCTTGATAGATCACCAGTTGATGTTCACTGACTCTCATAACACGGCGTCATCCTAGGTCACCAGTTGCTGTTGACTCACTCCCATAACACGGCGTCTTGCTAGGTCACCAGTTGCTGTTGACTGACTCCCATAACCTGGGGTCATCCTATGTCACCAGTTGCTGTTGATTGACTCCTATAATACGGCGTTATTCCAGGTCACCAGTTGCTGTAGACTGACTTCCATAACACGGCATCTTCCTAGGTCACCAGTTGCTGTTGACTGACTCCCATAACACAACGTCTTGCTAGGTCACCAGTTGCCGTTGTCTGACTCCCATAACCTGGCGTCATCTTAGGTCACCAGTTGCTGTTGACTGACTCCCATAACACGGCGTCATCCTAGGTCACCAGTTGCTGTTGACTGACTCCCATAACACGGCGTCTTGCTAGGTCACCAGTTGCTGTTGACTGACTCCCATAACACAGCGTCTTGCTATGTCCCCAGTTGCTGTTGACTGACTCCCATAACCTGGCGTCATCCTATGTCACCAGTTGCTGTTGACTGACTCCCATAATACGGCGTCATCCCAGGTCACCAGTTTCTGTTGACTGTCTCCCATAACACGGCGTCTTGCTAGGTCACCAGTTGCTGTTAACTGACTCGCATAATACGGCATCATCCCAGGTCACCAGTTGCTGTTGACTGACTCCCATAACACGGCGTCTTGCTAGGTCACCAGTTACTGTTGTATGAGTCCCATAACACGGCGTCCTGCCAGGTCACCAGTTGCTGTTGACTGATCGTTCCTCCCGCCTCTGCAGACCAGATGTAATAGGCTTGATGTTTGCATGTTTGAGTCTTTCTATTCAGCCATGTTATAGATCGAGGTCTTTTTTGGGTCGAGGTCTTTTTTTTTTTTTTGGTTTGACTGTTCACCTTTGCCGAGTCCTGCAGCTGAGTCAGCACCTAGTGTTATATAGTATGTACATTCTTGGTTCAACTGTTCCAAAATAATAGGAGCAGCTGAGTCAGCACCTAGTGTTATATTGTATGTACATTCATGGTTCAAATGTTCCAAAATAATAAGAGCAGATGAGTCAGCACCTAGTGTTATATTGTATGTACATTCTTGGTTCAACTGTTCCAAAATAATGAGAGCAGCTGAGTCAGCATCTAGTGTTATATTGTATGTACATTCTTGGTTTCAAATGTTCCAAAATAATAAGAGCAGCTGAGTCAGCACCTAGTATTATATTGTGTGTACATTCTTGGTTCAACTGCTCCAAAATAATAAGAGAAAACATACAGTCTAGAATGCAGTCTGTAAATACAGTATAGGTTTAGGTTTAGACAACGGATCAACATCATAACACACGGGCAGTAACCCATAAGTGCTCCGTTCTACTTCTGACTCAAGCCTGAGTTCGAAAAATCTCAGCGCAGTGCACGAACTCCGTTTTACAGGCTAGGACCCGGAAATACTATAGGTAAATTTTTTTTTAACCCTATATTTTACCCGGGCAGCGCCGTTAGGTTACTCTTTTCAATTTTCAACTGCCAATGGACTTTTTACTATTGTCCATGTGAAAAAATCCCAGACTTCACGGGTGCCTTCACCGGGACCTCCAGCACTCGAGGCGGACGCCATGTCACGAGACCACGTAGCCGGGAAACAGAGTATACTATGCTCTTCAATATCTGCTAAAAATCAAAGTGTCTCTCCAACTCTCTCTGTCTGTCACACACACACACTCTCTCTCTCTCTCTCTCTCTCTCTCTCTCTCTCTCTCTCTCTCTCTCTCTCTCTCTCTCTCTCTCTCTCTCTCTCTCTCTCATAAGAACAAAATCAAAATATTTAAAATGCAGACAAGACTATTTGTTTCATAGGGTTGAGAAACCAACTGAAATAGATGAAGTCTTATTACCTGTTTTTGAAACCAGAGTCTTGCGACGAATCTTTGAATATTTTAGAAATGCAATTGACGGAGAGGGGAGAGTGAGAAACAATTCATAATCTGTTTAAATCACTACTGGTAAATGGAATCACAAGGGCTGAAAGACTGGCTAGGGCACACTCAATGTATGTCAGGTGACATAGAGATAAAAGCTACCTACATCATCATCATCATCATCATCAGTTTGAATTGGTCAAGTACAGTCACCACCTAGATAGCTTTAGGTACACAAGGAAGCTGAATGATCGTAGACCACAAGGCCGTCGAAGAAGACGGTTGTGTAGAGATAATATACAGGCAGAGCTGCGAACACTTGGAGACATTACACAACATAGAAGGAGAGGACAAATCATAGAGATGGATGGATTGAGGAGAGTGATATCTACAGCAATGAATCTTGAAGGTTTTGTAATGATGAAGAAGAAGATCTTTAAAAAGACTACATTCGTTAATAGTCATGCATTTCTACGGTTAGCTGGTTGTTG